GTGCAGTGGCGTCAGCCTAGCTCACAGCAACCTCACACTCCTGGGCTCAAGCGATCCTCCTGCCTCTGTCCCCCCACTCCAAAAAAAAAAAAGACCATATAGGGCATTTAAAACAGTTGCTGTGTTGGCAGTAACAAAGCACTCCCTCTGTCTAAGCAGAGCTCTGACACTGCCAGCTGCTTTCCGAGGTTAGAGAAGATGCCATGCCCCAAAGCCGGGTGGGGTGCTAGCCACTGACTCAGACAGACTGAGATGAGTTCCTTGAAATGAATTGAGAAGCATCGGGTTGTTCCTCCTAGGAATCTTGTGCTGGCTAAATCTTCATTTTCTACATTCCTTTTACTTGTCTCCCTTCAAAAATCATACATGATCTGAATTTCTAAAAAAATTTAATTAAATTGGAGCAAAACAGAGATTAGTACGGCTCCCCCTCAGAGACAGTGTTTCGTTGTTCTCTCTTGGTTTTTAATAGAGTACAGAGAGTCCATTACAAAAGGACTCACTATGGCATCTTGTTGGTTATTTCCAGGGATTAAATCATAATCCTTATCCTTCGTAAAATAAGATGTGCCATTATCATTATAACAGAGGGCCTGTAAAACGCACCATCCCAGTTCCTCAGCACTAGCTTGAATAGGGCTTTTCAGTGCTTTGGAGAGTTACATTAGGGCAGGCTATGACATTTACTAGCTAACATTTATCGAGCATTAATCCTGTGCCAAGTTCTATGCTGAGCACTTTGCATACATTATCTAATTTAATCCTCATTACAACTCTTCAGGGTAGGTAGTATTATCATCTTCAATTTCCATATGAGGAACCGGAGTCAGCCAGAGGTTAAGTGACTTTCTCTGCTAGTCAGCTGCAGAAAGGATTTGGAGAGAGAAGCACTATCTCAGTGTAATAAAGAAAAGATCAAAATCCCTCTTGTGTAACCAGGAGGAGGCTCACAGGTGGTCTTTGATTCTGTGGAGTATTAATCCTGTGGTTAGAATTACATTGGGAGCATCTAACCGACAAAAATTAAGAAGAAAAGTGGCTAATATTATACAGTGGTCCTGTGAATTTCCATGCCAGGCACCCCAGGCTGACAAGGGTGAGACGGACAAGGTCCTGCTCCATCCCGGGCTCACAGTCTGGTGGGGCAGATTACGGTTTGGTCTATAGGCCAGGCATCGTCCCGTCCTATTTAATTCATAATCATAATGTGAATGGACACTTCATAGTTTTAACATAATTTATTATTTTTTTTCTCATTTTTAAACATTTAAAGCATTCTGTCACAGTTGGGCAGTTAGATTTTTTTTTCCAGTTTGAGGCTAATATGGATAGACAATATTCCTGCATACTTTTTGGTTTCTACTAAAATATTTTCTTAGAATAAATTTCTATAGTGCAGTTATTAGGTCAGAGGGTATGAATACCTTTATGATTCTTCCAATGTATTTTCACTTTGCTTGTTAGAAGGGTTTGCTATTTACTCAACAAATATTTAAGCTGGGGCCCATGGTGAATGCCTGTGGTCTCAACCACTCAGGAATCTAGGATAGAGGAGTAGGGATGTAGACTTGGGTAGAGGTGGGGTAGAGGGGAATCTCTTCAGCTCAGGAGTTCAAGCCCAGCCTGGGCAATATGGTAAGACCTTGTCTCTAAAAACAATTAATAAAAAAGCCCACAAATATTTATTGAGCATCTACTGTATAATCAGGGCTTATACTAAGCACTAGGGATACACTGTGAACAGATATGGTTGAAGTCCCCAAGAAGCATACCAATTTATGTCACTAGAAATGTATACTTTTAATTTTGGTGCAAAATCACCAGCACTAAAATTAAAAAGAAATTTTTTTTACTTGTATCTAATTTTTTTAAAAAACTTGCATTTAATGGTTGAGTGTTTGCATTCTATTTTCATATAAATTATTTTTGTATGTATATGAATTATTTTTGTGTGAAATACCTTTGTGTGTTTTCATAGTTCATTTTCTCATCTATTTATTTTCCTTATAAAATTGAGAAATGTTTTCATATCTCTGTCATATTTAATGTATTTTTCTAGTTATCTTACATTTTATTTTACTATTAATATTTTTAATTACACATAAGTTTAAAATTTTTATGTATTTGAGTTTGTTAGTCTTTTTCTTGGCCATAACTTGTTTTGCTTCTAAACTGAATGATCATTTTCCCATAGATCTAATAAACATTAAATTTTATTTTCTGATAGTTTCCCTATAATTTCAATTAAATTTTAGAATGATTTTTACAGTATGTTTTATTTATTTATATTTTTTTATTTTTTAACTTTTTTTCTTTTTTTAATTTTCTTCTTTTGTTTTTTGTTTTTTTTTTAATAACCCAAGGCTTCTGTTTTGACTAGATTTACAGTATGTTTTAGAATGACTACTTTATTGTACATTTAACTTGTCTATATAGTTGGACCCAATTCTAGTCTCTCTCACTGAATACATTTCCATTATCTGTACTTTTTGTCTGTTTAAAAAATATTGTTGCTTTATAATATCTACTTGGCTAGAGTCCTTATCGATCTGGTTATTTTTCAGAATGCATGTTTGTTAGTTTTTTTTTCAGGTTTCAAAATATTGGAACATTTATTGAAACCGAGTCAGATGTTAGGGCAACCCCTTTGGAGTTGCAGTAATGCCACTGCTAGTTGTCTGACCTTTCCCAAGTTTATTATTTAATAACTCTAAACCTCAGTTCCTCATCTGTAAACTGGGGATACTATAATATTAATACTTACAAGATTTTCAGGATTAAGTTTTTAAAAGTCCTTGTAAGGCATTTAGCACATTTGGTACCTCCATGCCTTGCACGGGAAATACTGTAATATAATAAAAGTGTTGATGATTATGATTCACTTGGGGGCAAATAGCCGTTTTACAAGGTGAAGTCTTCACTGTAAGGCGGATAGACTCTGCTTCTTTTGTATCACAGAGCGACACGGGAGTGTCACCGTCACGCTTCTCGTGAGACGCTCCCAAGCCGCCACGCCTTCCTCAGGTGGCTTTACAGGTGCCCAAGCTCCGCGCATCCGCTGAGCCCGAGGGGAGCGTTGCCTGGGAGATGACGGAGGGGCGGGACTAGCATTTAGACACCCCAATCAGAACCCACCGCCGGCGCTTCCGGGGGGGGCGGGAGGAAGCGAAGGCGCGGCGCCTGACGCAACGCCCAGCAGCCAATCAGAGAGCGGGGCGGCCATTCAAATTGCGGCCGTCGCGGGAAGTGGTGACTGGCGTCCGGGCGGCTTTTTAGGGGGCCCCTGAGGTGGCGCGCCCCGCGGAGTGGCGAAGTCTCGGTGCTGGGGAGAGCGTGCAGGCGCTTCCTCCGCGGGCGGCCGCTGCGGTGCGGGCGGGTGGTGGTAGTTCCGGTCGCCCCTTCAATTCCCGGGAACTCTGGGTGGGCGGCGAAGGGGGTCCCCGAAGGAAGGGCGTGAGGGGGCGGCTCTGTGGGGACCGGGACGCCGGACTTGAGGACCGCTCGGCCCGCAGCCTTCGCCCGCCGTGCCTCGCCGGGTCGGCTGGCGTTAAGAGGTACTTTCTCCGTCCCAGCCCCGCGCAGCGACTCCTTGAGGAAGAACTGAATCGCCGGACGTTTCGGTTCAGGCTGTAACTCACTTTCCTTGATGCCCGCCAGCCCGCTTTAAAACCTGACGGCGAAATGGCCGAAAAACAGACACAAACCTGTGTTGATTTGTGTAAGTAGCAAACAGTTTTCAGCTGCAGCGGAATTTCCAGAATCTTTTCTGGCCTTTAAATTCATTTCCTAACAGAAATATTCTATACTTTTTGGTCGAAAGGTTGACGGGAGATACTTACAGCCTGACAGGGTTTTATTTTTTGGTAATGATTTCTTATTTATGTAAAAATATAAGACTCACTTAAAGATGAACTTTTATCGATTTGTTCCTCGACAGCAGTAACCTCCGCAACAGTTTGAGCCAGGGTCATTTTACAAGTTAGAACCAAGCAAGCACATTAGAAGGAAGACTTGTTTGCATCCACGTAAGGAGATTGATGCGGACTTGACTAGAAGCCAGGTGTCTTACCTGCCACTCCTGTTCCCGTTCTTTTAAACGTTGATGCCTGTTAGATATTGTTGACATACATTTATTTACATACTGCACCCCTGTATATTTTTTTGTCTAACTGCTAAAGCGTAGGCTGTCTGCTTCTGTAATCTTGCACGGTTTTTCTCAACACAAGCAACTAAGTTACAAGGTTTATCATACTTATTGACCGTGGTACTTATTTGGGTACTTAATCTGCCTTTAGACACCAATCAATTTAATATCCTGTATAGGCATTTCCTGTATTCAGCATATATTTAACAGCTGTTTATATAAATACTTGCTCCATACTCTGATTTAGGTACTAAGGTTTCCTTTAATCCACTCCACTTCCCAAGCTGAGGGTACATAAAAAAAAAAAAATCTATGCTGACATGAACTTTTCACATCTCTTAAGTCACTTGGCACATGTGGCTTGATGTATGGGTTATCTGTGTTTCTTCTAGACTATCCTAAGGCAATGAGAAAAGAATTCTTGTCTTTGAAGTCAATAGTATCTATCAGAGGGCCTGGCACATATGGAGACTTAAATATTTGTTTTGTTTTGTTTTTTTTTTTTTTTGAGACAGAGTCTCACTTTTGTTGCCCTGGCTAGAGTGAGTGCCGTGGCGTCAGCCTAGCTCACAGCAACCTCAAACTCCTGGGCTCAAGCGATCCTACTGCCTCAGCCTCCCAAGTAGCTGGGACTACAGGCATGCACCTCCATGCCCAGCTAAATATTTGTTGAATAAAGATTTTAAGCTCTTTGAGGGAAGAGATTTGTCTGGAGTTGCTTGGAAGCGATGTCTGAGCTAGAGATTGTGATTTATTCTAATGTATGCTTCTGAGAATTATACAATGGGATGTTCTCTATATTATTAAAGCTTGTTTGTAGACTGTGCAATCTAAATCCTTCATTATTTTTTTGCAGTTTAGCGGATATTTTTAGAAACTAATACATAAGAAATGGCTGGAAATTAAACGAATGTCCAAAGAGGAGATTAGAATCGTCAGCGACATTCTTTTAAAAATAACTGTCTGCCAAAATGTCAGTACACACTGCTCATAATAGAAATAACAGCATTACTTCTACCCCAAAGAGTTCTTCACTAAGCGCCCTCACCCACAGTAGCAGACTAAAGCTGCATTTGAAGTCGGATATGTCAGAATGTGAAAATGATGATCCGTTATTGAGATCTGCAAGTAAAACCAGAGACATAAATAGCACTTACGTTATTTCTGCCAGTACGAAAACAGAAGGTATATCCCTTACCCCTAACCCTGTAGGTAAATTGGCACTTCAGAGAAGAACTACAAGGAACAAAGAATCATCTTTGCTTGGTAGTGAGTCAGGAGAAACAACTGAAAAAACAGCAGAAAAATGCCTTACATTACAACGTCGTGCTAAAACAGATTCTTCGGAAAAGTGGAAAACAGCTAAAACAGATTACATCGAGAAGTGGAAAACAATGCAGGATGTGGGAGGCGAAAGAGAAAATAATTGTGCTTCAAAGGAAACTACTACAAATGTAAATGTTGTAAATAATGTTAAAAACTCTTTTGTTGCATCTTCTATACCTTTAGCTAAAGATCCAAAAGACATTGAAATGGTGGCTGATGAGAAATACAAAGAAACATTTTCTGCCAGCAGTGGGGCAAATGAAAATGTTGCACTTAAATACTCAAGTAACCGAGCACCCATTGGTTCCCAGGATCAAACTGAAGTTGTTAAATCAGGACACTTGGCAGCGAAACCTATTCAAAGCAAGTTGGATGTGAAAGTGTTAGGAATAGGAAACTTACATCATAGAAGTATCGGGAAGGACCTTGCAAAAAATTCAAATAAATTTGGAAGCTTAGAAAAAACACCTATGAAATGTATAACAGACCACAAATTGACACCAAAGAGTGGCATGCCTCAGCTTAAGAGCCCAGCAGCCTCTGTACTCAAGAATAGGATGCCTAACCTTCAAGTTAAACAAAGGCCAAAAAGTTCTCTTCTTGCAAATAAAAGGGAACGTTCACAAGAAAATACACTCCCTGCTATGGAAGAAACTGCAGTTCAGAACACCTCTAAAGAAACAGACCCCTTAAAAGTAGAGAACAGTCAAGTGACAGTGGCAGTACGCATAAGGCCTTTCACCAAGAGGTATGACACACCTTTTAAAATCTAAAGCCAAGCCAGTAACATGTAATGTGTCTTTAATTCCTCTACCTTTGGAAAGTAAGCATATTTAAGTATCTTCAAACTTGTTGATAATTTTACGTAGAAAAAACTTTTGGGTTTAGTTGTAGTATGTTGATAATTTTTGATGATTGTACAATAGAAAACCCCAAATCACCACATTTTACATATGTAAGTTTTTAGGTATACTGCTTTTATTTTATTTTATTTTATTTTATTTTTTGAGACAGAGGCTTGCTCTGTTGCCCGGGCTAGAGTGCCGTGGCATCAGCCTAGCTCACAGCAACCTCAGACTCCTGGGGTCAAGCAATCCTTCTGCTTCAGCCTCCCCAGTAGCTGGGACTACAGGCATGTGCCACCATGCCCGGCTAATTTTTTCTGTATATTTTTAGTTGGCCAATTAATTTCTTTCTGTTTTTTTAGTAGAGACGGGGTCTCCGCTCTTGCTCAGGCTGGTTTCGAACTCCTGACCTTGAGCGATCCACCCGCCTCGGTCTCCCAATATACTGCTTTTAAAAAGCCTGAATATTTCCTTGTTTTTGGAATTATTTAAAAAAAAAAAAAAAGCCTGATTAAGTCATTTAAGTCTCTGATGCAGTCTGCTTTCAGAGCTGCAGTATATGCTGGGATCGTCTACCTTTGCTTTACAAAGAGCCATAACAGGTTACTTGTTTCCCAAAGAGGTCCTTTCAAAACCCTTTCCAGAGTGGTGATCATCGTCCTCATCTGATTAAAATATAGTGGTTATAGATGCAGTCATTTATTTGATTTTGATGGCAAAAAATTTCTCTCCAAAAGTGATTGTGGGTGGGACAGAGACACAGATTAGGGTAGAGTTGAAAAAGTGAAATGTGAAATCTAATTGTTTTAAAATATTTTAAGGGAGAACAGGGGAAAATTTCACAGGGTCAGTAGTGTTTAACTTGATGGTATGTGTCCAAACAAGTTGGAAGAGGATATGATGATCACTGCATTGGAGAAGGAACCTCCAGTTTGCAAGTTATAAGACCTTTCTAGTGAAAATGAGTTAGTAATAAGGGGAGAGACCTGAGGGTTTGTTAATTTGAGGAGTTGGAAAGTCTAATAGAAAAGCCTCAGACACCATGACAGGAAGAAAGGCAATATAAGGAGCCGAACTGGTGGGACAAAACCCAAGATAGATGACTACATTGAAATGAACATAGGAAGGGACCAAGTGCCTGATTCCAGACTCATCAGACAAGCCTTGAAAGCAGCACTGGTGTGAATTGGCACTTATCAAATTGATGAGGCAGATGGTTTCCAGGATAAATTCTGATTCACAGCAGAATCTCAGAGGAGGGGGTGGAAATCGGGGGCCAGAAGAGGGGTGACATTGTTTTACTACAGATCTTGAGTAAGTGAAAGATTACCTAAGTCTGAGATGGAAGAAGGATAGACATGAAGATTCATGATTTTAGAAGAGAGAATGTAGAGGAAGGAGGAACCGTTGGAATAACAGTGACAACAGCTAGTAGCCAAGTGACTTATGATTCAAACTTACATTCATATGAGTTTGTTGAAATTATATTTTATGCCAGCTTTATATAGATCAGTGCCCCCCAAATTTGTATAATAAAGATGTTTCTAGATTTCAGCTGAAGAGTTTAGATAGATTAGAGTAGGTGGGATGGGGAAAAGGTATAGTTTAAAGAACAAGGTAAAGAGGAAAAATCTTGTAGAAGTAGGGTAGGTTTTCTGGAGGAGAAATCTGGAATTCCATTTTCCTTTTGATTGGTGGCACTAGAATTGCAGAAATATATTTTACAAACCCACTAGAATTATGTTTGCTGGTCTGCATTTTCCACATAAAACTAAAGAATTATCTTGCCTTGAAAGAATGTTATATTTTACTGGTTCTCAGGTCCTTATTATATTCTGTAGGAATAATACCTACAATAATACCTACAATTGTAATAACTTGATTTTTTTCTTTGTGCTTCTTTCTTTCTTTATTATTAATTTAAACTTAAAGCTGTTACCTTTGTGCTTCTTTAAAGAGAGAAGATTGAAAAAGCTTCCCAGGTAGTCTTCATGAATGGGGAAGAAATAACTGTGGAACATCCTGACATGAAACAAGTTTATAATTTTATTTATGATGTTTCATTCTGGTCTTTTGATGAATGTCATCCTCACTATGCTAGCCAGACAACTGTCTATGAGAGGCTAGCAGCACCACTCCTAGAGAGAGCCTTTGAAGGCTATAATACCTGTCTTTTTGCCTATGGTCAGACTGGCTCTGGAAAATCATATACGTAAGTTGTATTGCAAATGCAATTATCCAGAAATGTTTACATCTTCTTTTGTGAGAAACAACATGATGTGATGGAAAGAATGTAGTTTTGAAACCACAGAGATCTGGGCTCAAATCTTACCATTTTATGTACTAGTTCTGCAAACTTGGGCAAGTACTTAGCCTCAGGGCTTCAGTTTACACATGAGATACAATTTACCTTGTAAGTATCAGTGGCCCTGTTTTACTGTAATTTATATTTCTTGTGTAAACTGAAGCACAGAGAAGTTACCTTTTAAGTATTTAGAGAATTACAAGTAAGGCATTTGATAAATAGTAGCCATGGTAATAATTCCTGTCCTAGAAGGAAATACTGAGAATTTTAATAGTAGATAACATTTATTGAGTTCCTACTATATTCCAGGCCCTGTGCTAAAGGCTTAGCTTATACTCTCTCACAGCTCTCTAAGTTAGATACTTTTATTATTCCCATTTTACAGAAGAGGAAATTGAGGTTTAGTAAGGTCAAGTATTTTGTCCAAGGTCACAGAGCTAATAAACAGTGGGATCAAGATTGGGGCTAAGACAGATTTGGCTCCTGAGTGTGGGTTCTTTTGAGATTTAGTTAACTTGCTGCTCATTCTTTCCCCAGCCCATTTACCCCAAAATATTTTTTTAAAAAAACCTATTTGGTTTTACTTACTTCTTATTCATAATGTATTTTCCAGGATGATGGGATTTAGTGAAGAACCAGGAATAATTCCAAGATTTTGTGAAGATCTTTTTGCTCAAGTAGCCAAAAAACAATCCCAAGAGGTATGTTTTCATAATATCTGCAAGCTTCATATCAGACTAGAAAATAGTCAAATCAAGTTCAAATCAGAGTCATGCCTCTAAGGAAATATTTAATAGAAGATGTAGTTCTAATTTCTAGATGACTGTCCTCTGGAACTGGTGTGGAGAGAGGGAGGATGGGGATTCCAAATTCAGAATCCGTTCCACCTGGTGGACAGCGATGGGGCATCATCTCTTCTGTCTTTTCTACCTTTCTCTGCTTTATTTCTTCTGTGTATGTCTAGTGGCTCATGGTGTGGTGGTTATGTGCCATTATACATGTCTCTGTAGTCAGGTGCGCAGACATAACTAAGGACAGCAGGCATAAACTTTTTGGCAATGTGAAGCAGAAAGCGTAGTAAAGCTGGAGTTTGAACCCATATTTGACTTCAAAAGCCGTGCTTTTTCCGCTATACTCCACCTGAACAGGCTGTGCCGGGTTCCCTTTTCACTTCTTTATATATTCAGCAAATATTTACTGAGTGTCAGCTGTTGCCAGACACTCTATTAGACCAATTTTTTTCTCCTCAAATTTGCTTTATCTTAAGATTCACCAGAGATGTGGCAGGGGTCTGTGTGTGCGTGTATGTGCACATGTTCTTGCTAAAAATCTCTTCTGGAGATTCTGAGTCAGTTGGTCTGGAGTAGAGCAGGGGGTTTTATAAGTTTTATGCTTTTTCTCTAGTAATTCTTAGGAAAAGGGAAATTGGGAAAATACCATGCTAGATTGGTGGCACAGAGTTAAAAGACTTAGTCCCTGCAGTCAGGAAAGTATCATTGGAGAAATGGGCCAGTAAGCAGCCAAGTACAATCAATTAAATGCTGAATAAATTAAACGATGTGATAGAACATGTGAGTGAGAACATGTAAGATTAGAGGGAGACAGAGTTTCTTGTAGAGAAATGAGCAACTGAGCTTATTTTTGAAGGATTTATAGCAGTTACTAGCTTGGTGACAACCAAGGGGCGGGGGGGAAGGACATTCCAGGCAGAGGGAGCAGCATGTGCAAAGATTTGAAAGCAAGAAAGTAGGGCACCTTTAGGAATCTATAAATTGTTTACTTTGTTTTGAATGTGAAATTCAAGGGTGGAGGGTGAGAAGAGATGAAACTAGAGAGGCAGACAGAACTCAGCTCATGAAGGACTTTGTGAACCATGCTTCCAGGAATCTAAAAGGCTATGGAAGGATTTTGAACAGGGGAGTGATATGATCGTATTTATTCTTTTAAAAAAAAAAAAATAGCCCTGGCTGTGATGTGGAGCATGGATTGAAGGGAAATAGGACTGGATGCAAAGAGGCCAGCTGTGAGACTCGTAAGCTGGATAAGACATGTCAAGGAGTTAAATGAAGGTAGTTTGACAGTAGGGGTGGCCACGGGGGCAAACTGAGAGATAGAAAGTAAGTAGAACTGGTAAGATTTGCTGACTGTTGGAAATGGAGGATGAGGGAGAGGGAAATCAATATTTCTGATTGGAGAACCAGAGTAGATATTGATGGCATTCTTTGAGATCACGAGAGAAAAAGCAGAATTGAGTAGATGTTGAGTTCTGTCTTCCCTGTGGATATGCTGTCCTTCCTCTGTGGTCTTTTCTCCCCTCAACTTCTCACTCCCAGGAATTAAATTAAAAATAGGAGGAGTAGGGGGATCAGTAGAAACATGGTTGTATGGAGACTATAATGTGATTCAAGTCTAAGGTTAGTGGGAATAAGGAAGTGAGAAAGCTTTGGGCTTGTGGGACAGAGTTCTCTGTTTAAGATTTTAGAGGGAGAGTAATTTGTAGGTAATATAAGTCAGGGAGAGATAGATAAGGTGAAGTAGAGGTGCAGAGGTCTTTGGAATGATTGGGAAAGAACTGGTTTTGCATAGATTTTGCATAGCATGACTATATCACTAAGGAACATAATGTAATGATTAAGAGCATGGACTTTGGAGATAGATTAATTGAATTTGAATCTAAGCTTTTGCACTTTACTAGAAGTATGACCTTGAACAATTTACTTAACCTCTGTGTTTCATCGCAGAAAATTGAGATGATGATGGTATCTTTCTCATAGGTTTGCTGTAAGGATTAAATGAGTTGCTTTATGTAAGAGGTTTTGTATAGTGCCTGGCACATAGTGAGTGCAACTAAATGATTGTAGTTATATCACTTACTCAGAATGGATGCTGAGCAGGGGGGATAGAAGGTGGTACGGCCCCTTTCCGATTAGTCATTATATTTATAGTCATTATCTCTCATTTTTGTTCTTAATTTTCTATTGCTCTGTTGTATCTATTGGAGGGTATGATGGCAGGAGCCTTAGAGAAGAAAAAAGTAGTTTCTCACCAGTGTGGCCTCACATACCTTTCCTAACTCCTTTCCCACTATACTGCCGTTTCTAAGTCCTCTTGGAGCCTCCATAATATAATATATAATACTATTTTATATAAAAAGGTATTAATACATGTTTTTTGAATTCTGAGCCCCCATACCTATAACATAGTATTTGTAAATGATCTTATAATTACAGTGTTCCATATATCTGTTCTCTTTGAAACTGCGTTGTTCCTCGCCAATGACGCCAATTATACTCTGCCTTTTACTGCTCATGTACTATATTGCGTTTCCTATTAGATTGTGAGTTCTTTCAGGGTAAAGACTATGTCCAGTTCATCTCATGTTTTCCAACAGCTCTTAGAAGCCTGCTTTGTACCTACTGGGGCACAGTAAATACTTGGTGAATTAAACCTAAATCTTTTGAAACTCCCTTGAAGCATCCAATCCTGTTAGTTGCTTGCTGACTCACTTCTGGGCCAATGGATGAAATTTATTTCTCTAACTAGGAAACCACTCCCTAACTGTCAAAAAAGCTGCATGGCAGCAAAATTTCTCCTTTTTGGACTCAACACAGTATCTTTCTTAGTCAAAAGGAGGAGAGGCTGAGCCTTACTTGGTGTGTTGATTGCTTTCTGCTCCTATGAGAAATAATGATTTAAAGTCTCATCTTGTCAGATTGAATGTCAACGTATAGAGTGTCTTGTCTTGTCTTTTTTTTTGAGACAGAGTCTCACTTTGTTGCCCAGGCTAGAGTGACTGCCGTGGCATCAGCCTAGCTCACAGCAACCTCGAACTCCTGGGCTCAAGCAATCCTGCTGCCTCAGCCTTCCAAGTAGCTGGGACTACAGGCATGTGCCACCATGCCGGACTAATTTTTTATTTATATATTTTTAGTTGGTCGATTAATTTCTTTCTATTTTTGGTAGAGATGGGGTCTCGCTCAGGCTGGTTTCGAACTCCTGACCTCAAGCGATCCGCCAGCCTCGGCCTCCCAGAGTGCTAGGATTACAGGCATGAGCCACCACGCCTGGCCTTTTTTTTTCTCTTGAGACAGAGTCTCACTTTGTTGCCCAGGCTAGAGTGAGTGCCTTGGCGTCAGCCTAGCTCACAGCAGCCTCAAACTTCTGGGCTCAAGCAATCCTGCTGCCTTAGCCTCCCGAGTAGCTGGGACTATAGTCATGCGCCACCATGTTTGGCTAATTTTTTCTATATTTATTATAGAAAATGAATTGGCCAATCAATTTCTTTCTATTTATAGTAGAGATGGGGTCTCACTCTTGCTCAGGCTGGTTTCAAACTCCTCACCTTGAGCAATCTGCCCGCCTCGGCCTCCCAGAGTGCTAGGATTACAGGCGTGAGCCACCGCGCCCGGCCTGAGAGTGTCTTTTCTGTCCTGAGCACACCCCATACATAGGTGCTGCTGTCTTACCTTCTTTTTCTGGTCTGGTCCCCTCCATCTTTCATGACTCACATTCTATTTACTCCTTACCCAGCCTCTGGCCATCCTAGTTTCCCCCCTTTAGGATTAGTCATTTTATTTATAGTCATTATCTCTCATTTTGGTTCTTAATTTTCTTTCTTTTTCTTTTTTTTTTTGTGACAGAGTCTTGCTCTGTCGCTGGGGATAGAGTGCCATGGCATCAGCCTAACTCAGAGCAACCTCAAATATCTGGGCTCAAGTGATCCTCCTGCCTCAGCCTCCTGAGTAGCTGGGACTACAAGAACATGCCACCATGTCCAGCTAATTTTTTCTATTTAAGTAGAGAACAGGGTCTTGCTCTGATCAGGCTGGTCTCGAACTCCTAAGCTCAATCTATCTCCCCACTCGAACTCCCAGAGTGCTAGGATTAGAGGTGTGAGCCCAGCCCAAGCTTCTTAATTTTCTATTGCTCTGTCTTGTCTGTTGGACAGTATGTTGTATTTCTCTGAGATCATAACCTCATGGGCAAGGACCTTGTCTGAAACTTCTTATATCCTCTGAAATATTAAGCCATACACATAGGATATAGATACTTAAGATTTGCTTATTAGGTTGAATGGACATTACCTAGAATAGAAGAAGAAATCAAGGACTCTGTTGTTGTCATTAAAATATTTTTAACAAGATAAAATTCATATAACAAATTAACCACTTTAGAGTATACAGTTCAGTGGCATTTAGTACATTCATAATGTGTGCAGCTGTCATCTCTCTAGTCCCCATAATTTCATCACCCCCAAAGGATACCCTGTACTCATTAAGTAGTCACAACCCATTTTCCCTTCTCCCTAACTCCGAAACCTACTAATCTGCTTTATGTTTTTAGGATTTACATTCTGGAATCATGTAGAGGAAATCAGGCAATTGTGCCCTTTTATGTCAGGCTTCTTTCACTTGGTATAACATGTTGGAGGTTGTCCATATTGTAGAATATATCAGTACTTCATTCCTTTAGTGGCTGAATAATATTCCATTGTGTGGATATAGCAGTTTCATTTATCGATTCGTCGGTTGATGAACATTTGGTTGTTTCCACCTTTTGGCTATTGAATAGTGGCTGCTGTGAACATTGGTACACCATTTTTGTTTGAATAGTTGTCTTCGATTATTTGGATGTATAGAGTGGTTACTGGTGCATATGTAATTTATATTAACCTTTGAGGAACTGCCAATATGTTCTACAGAGGCTGCACCATTTAGTAAATACATTTCCACCAGCAATGGAGTAGGTCCAATGCTCCATATCCTCATCACACTGCTTTTCATTTGAAAAAATATAGCCATCCTATATTGGTTTCTCATTGTGGCTTTGATTGCATTTCCTACAGAGGAAATAGTGAACATCTTTTCAGTGGCTTTTTGGCCATTATGTATCATCTTGGAGAAAGTCTATCAAGTCATTGCCGTTTTTTAATTGGCTATTTCTGTTGTGAGTGTAAAGTTGTTTATGTATTGATTCTAGACCCATATCCAGCATATACTGATTTCAAAACGTGAAGAATTTTAAAATAATACATGCTGTTTCTATTCTTACCAGGTCAGCTATCACCTTGAAATGAGCTTCTTTGAAGTATATAACGAAAAATTCATGACCTTCTGGTTGTAAAGGGAAAGGGCAGAGAAAGCAACCCGTAAGATTAAAACAATCTATTATTTGTTTTATTTTCTATTCTTGTATTACATATAATTATGAGTTCTCTGGGTGATAATAGCTTAAATTTTATAAAATGCTGTTGTATGATGGCAAATGCTTAGATCTGCAGCCTACTACATTGTTATTTGAAAAATGAACATACATAAGTGAAATTATTAAATTCAACATCCTTATCTTAATCAAGAATTGTGTAAAAGTTAAAGACAAATATTTGTTCTAAGATTATTAAGTTTGACCGTGTAAGTCAAACATCAAATCCCTAATAGGGTGAAAACAAAAACCAGTAAAAAATTTAAAATTATATTTTTATTATAGAATATGTATTTCAGGGTGTGCAAAAAAATAGAATATGTATTTCAGTGAATTATTTAGCAATTGTTTCTTATAATAATCGTGAAATAAAATGTTTCACAGTTACATAGCTTTACAAAATTTCTATTTGAACTTAAAATTATAATTTCCAAAGGACCTTGGAACACAAGAAACAAAAAAATCTAATGAATCAGTTGCCTTCTTTACTTCCCAAGATTATGCAATTTACTATTGGCGACATCAAGAAACAAACAAAACTGACATTTTCTTCTGTGCTGTCTTAAAATTTCTGGTCACAGAGCGAATGTATAATAATGTAACAATGAAGAAAAATGTAAATTTATGGAATTTTAATGAATGCTTTTAGAGAGATATTAAAAGTATATAGATAGTATTGGCGCGGCGCGGTGGCTCATGCCTGTAACCTAGCACTCTGGGAGGCGAGGCGGCGGATTGCTTGAGTCAGGTGTCGAAACCAGCTTGAGCAAGAATGAGACCCCGTCTCTACTATAAATAGAAAAAATAATTGCCCAACTATATATAGAGAAAAATTAGCCGGACACAGTAGCACATGCCTGTAGTACAGCTACTCGGGAGGCTGAGGCAGAGGATCGCTCGAGCCCAGGAGTTGAGGTGCTGTGAGCAAGGCCTGACCACGGCACTCACTCTAGCCTAGGCAACAAAGCGAGACTCAGGAGTTTGAGGTTGCTGTGAGCTAGGCTGGTGCCATGGCAGCCACTCTAGCCGGACAACAAGTGAGACTCTTCTCAAAAAAAAAAAAAAGTATATAGATAGCATCTACTGAAAATTTAATTTAAGAATATAAAAAACTAGGCCAGGCATAGTGGTTCATTCCTGTAATCCCAGCATTGTGGAAGGCTGGGATGGGAGGATTGTTTAAGACCACACCCTGTCTCTATGGAAAAGAAGAAGAAAACGAAGAAGAAAAAACTAGTAAGAACTTTGATGCTACAATGTATTGTTGCATATTGTGCAACTATAAATAGTTTTTGGTTTTGAAACAGTTTCTTAATGCCTTACAGATTTATTTTTGTGAAAGTCTTTGTATTTTTTTCTGGATAAAGTAAATATAAATGTTTTTACCTTAAACTCAAAATATAGGAAAAAATGATAATTTAAAATTGTGTGTTATATGAAATATTTGTTATACTCCTAACGATGCAAATATTTGCTTCTGTCTAGCTGAGAGTAAGGGAGCATCCTGTTTCTGGACCATATGTTGAATCACTGTCCATGTAAGTGTTTGGTTCTGCAAGAGCAAGGAAGAGAAAACAAATGAAGAGAGTGAATGTTGTTCTCTTGTAATCCTTATTGTATTCTCATTGGCCTCCCTGACTTTGAAACCCTGGATAACTATTTAGCTTTCTATCCTTAATAATATTCTATTAAGTTTTCCCTCTTTCCATATAATATTAGTTCCTTTTTATCTTTCACAGTACCTGTAAGGTGTCTGACATAGAGTATTAATTATACTGAGTATGAAATAAATAAATAAATTTGATTTTTTCCTCCTTTCCCCATTAAGTTAAATCTCCCCTCTCAACCTGCTTTTTATACCTATTACTTTAAGCTGAAGAGGGAAGAAGGTGCTAAAATGAATTAAGAGTTTGATAAATGCCAAGAGTCATTTACTTTCTCTTTCACTCTAAATGCTTTTCTTAAAGGAAAGGGAAAATGATAGATATGAATTCAGCTCCATTTCATAAATCTAGGATTGTATTGGGACCTCTACACACCAACACATACATATACCTGTGCATATAGACATGAGTTAAAGTATATCTTTTGGTGTCATGATTTAGACTTGAATATTATAATGCCAAGATGCTTCATTATATTAAGAATAATCATACTTTTTGGTAAAATTAAAGCATTTTATTTACTGAATTTAAGAATGGGAAAAATATAAGATTCTGGGAGAATCAGTATAATATCTGTGAATATTATTATGCCCTTCAGACAGTAATTATGTAATTGAAAGGTTATTGTTTTATGAGAACAAGAGTACAATTATCACTAAAATCAATTTTATTTTTTTATTTCTTAAAAATAGGAATGTTGTCAGTTCTTACTCTGATATCCAGGTAAGATTGATTGTATTTTGTCATCTTTTCACTATTAATAGATAGGATATAAACCTAAATATTCATAAGAATATATCCTTAATTGCAGTTTACATAAATAAAAGGTTAATTATATTAATTTATCACAAACTGATTTTTGTTTGTTAAGCCTTAATCAAAAGAATTGCTCTTCTTTCTTTCTTTCTTCCTTTTCTTTCTTTCTTTTTTTTTTTTTTTTTTTTACAGAGTCTCACTCTGTTGCCCAGGCTAGAGTGCCTCAAACTCCTGGGCTCAAGTGATCCTCCTGCCTCAGCCTCCTGAGTAGCTGGGACTACAAGAACATGCCACCATGTCCAGCTAATTTTTTCTATTTTAAGTAGAGACAGGGTCTTGCTCTTGATCAGGCTGGTCTCGAACTCCTAAGCTCAATCTATCCTCCCACTCGAACTCCCAGAGTGCTAGGATTAGAGGTGTGAGCCCAGCCCAAGCTTCTTAATTTTCTATTGCTCTGTCTTGTCTGTTGGACAGTATGTTGTATTTCTCTGAGATCATAACCTCATGGGCAAGGACCTTGTCTGAAACTTCTTTATATCCTTCTGAAAATATTAAAGCCATACACATAGGATATAGATACTTAAGATTTGCTTATTAGGTTGAATTGGACATTACCTAGAAGTTAAGAAGAAGAAATGCAAGGACTTCTGTTGTTGTTCATATTAAAATATTTTTTAACAAGATAAAATTCATATAACAAAATTAACCACTTTAGAGTATACAGTTCAGTGGCATTTAGTACATTCATAATGTTGTGCAGCTGTCATCTCTCTCTAGTCCCCCATAATTTTCATCACCCCCAAAGGATACCCTGTACTCATTAAGTAGTCACAACCCATTTTCCCTTCTCCCTAACTCCCGAAACCTACTAATCTGCTTTATGTTTTTATGGATTTACCTATTCTGGAATTCATGTAGATGGAATCATGCAATATGTGCCCTTTTATGTCAGGCTTCTTTCACTTGGTATAACATGTTGGAGGTTGTCCATATTGTAGCATATATCAGTACTTCATTCCTTTAGTGGCTGAATAATATTCCATTGTGTGGATATAGCAGTTTCATTTATCGATTCGTCGGTTGATGAACATTTGGGTTGTTTCCACCTTTTGGCTATTGTGAATAGTGCTGCTGTGAACATTGGTACACATTTTTGTTTGAATAGTTGTTCTTGATTATTTTGGATGTATAGGAGTGGTTACTGGGTCATATGGTAATTTTATATTTAACCTTTTGAGGAACTGCCAACTATGTTCTACAGAGGCTGCACCATTTTAGTAAATACATTTCCACCAGCAATGGAGTAGGGTCCCAATTGCTCCATATCCTCATCAACACTTGCTTTTCATTTGAAAAAAATTATAGCCATCCTATAATGTGGTTTCTCATTGTGGCTTTGATTGCATTTCCCTACAGAGAAATGATGTTGAACATCTTTTCATGTGCTTTTTGGCCATTTGTGTATCATCTTTGGAGAAACGTCTATTCAAGTCATTTGCCCGTTTTTTAATTGGGCTATTTGTCTTTGTTGTTGAGTTGTAAGAGTTGTTTATGTATTTTGGATTCTAGACCCATATCAGATATATGATTTGCAAAACGTGTGAAGAATTTTAAAATAAATTACATGCTGTTTCTATTCTTACCAGGTCAGCTATCACCTTGAAATGAGCTTCTTTGAAGTATATAACGAAAAAATTCATGACCTTCTGGTTTGTAAAGGTGAAAATGGGCAGAGAAAGCAACCCGTAAGATTAAAACAATCTATTATTTGTTTTTATTTTCTATTCTTGTAATTACATATAATTATGAGTTCTCTGGGTGATAATAGCTTAAATTTTTATAAAATGCTGTTGTATGATGGCAAATGCTTAGGATCTGCAGCCTAACTACATTGTTATTTAGAAAAATTGAACATTATCATTAGTGGAAATTAGTTATTAAAATTCAACATCCTTATCTTAATCAAGAATTGTGTAAAAGTTAAAGACAAAATATTTGTTCTAAGATTATTATAGTTTGACCGTGTAAGTCAAACATCAAATCCCTAATAGGGTGTAAAACAAAAACCAGTAAAAAATTTTAAAATTATATTTTTATTATAGAATATGTATTTCAGGGGTTGGTGCAAAAAAAATAGAATATGTATTTCAGTGAATTATTTAGCAAATTGTTATCTTATAAATAATCTGTGAAATAAAATGTTTCACAGTTACATAGCTTTACAAAATTTCTATTTGAACTTAAAATTTATAATTTCCAAAGGACCTTGGAACACAAGAAACAAAAAAATCTAATGAAGTCAGTTGCCTTCTTTACTTTCCCAAGATTATGCAATTTACTATTGGCGACATCAAGAAACAAACAAAACTTGACATTTTCTTCTGTGGCTTCTGTCTTAAAATTTCTGGTCACAGAGTCGGAAATGTATAATAATGTAACAATGAAGAAAAATGTAAATTTATGGAATTTTAATGAATGTGTTTTAGAGAGATATTTAAAAGTATATAGATAGTATTGGCCGGGCGCGGTGGCTCATGCCTGTAATCCTAGCACTCTGGGAGGCTGAGGCGGGCGGATTGCTTGAGGTCAGGTGTTCGAAACCAGCTTGAGCAAGAATGAGACCCCGTCTCTACTATAAATAGAAAGAAATTAATTGGCCAACTAATATATAGAGAAAAAATTAGCCGGACACAGTAGCACATGCCTGTAGTACCAGCTACTCGGGAGGCTGAGGCAGGAGGATCGCTCGAGCCCAGGATTTTGAGGTTGCTGTGAGCAAGGCTGACGCCACGGCACTCACTCTAGCCTAGGCAACAAAGCGAGACTCAGGAGTTTGAGGTTGCTGTGAGCTAGGCTGGTGCCATGGCAGTCACTCTAGCCTGGACAACAAAGTGAGACTCTTTCTCAAAAAAAAAAAAAAAGTATATAGATAGCATCTACTGAAAATTTAATTTAAGAATATAAAAAACTAGGCCAGGCATAGTGGTTCATTCCTGTAATCCCAGCATTTGTGAAGGCGGGATGGGAGATTGTTTAAGACCACACCTGTCCTTATGGAAAAGATAAAAGAAAAGAAAGAAGAAAAAACTAGTAAGAACTTTGATGTCTACAATGTATTGTTGCAAATTGTGCAACTAATAAATAGTTTTTTGGTTTTGAAACAGTTTCTTAATGCCTTACGATTATTTTTGTGAAGTCTTTGTATTTTTTTCTGGATAAAGTAAATTATAAATTGTTTTACCTTAAACTCAAATATAGGAAAAAATGATAATTTAAAATTGTTGTTATATGAAATATTTGTTATCCTCCTAACGATGAAATATTTGCTTCTGTCTAGCTGAGAGTAAGGAGCATCCTGTTTCTGGACCATATGTTTGAATCACTGTCCATGTAGAGTGTTTGGTTCTGCAAGAGCAAGGAAGAGAAAAAAATGAAGAGAGTGAATGTTGTTCTTTGTAAACCTTATTGTATTCTCATTGGCCTCCCTGACTTTGAAACCCCTGGATAACTATTTAGCTTTCTTCCTAATAAATATCTATTAAGTTTTCCCTCTTCCATATAATGTTTAGTTCCTTTTATCTTTCACAGTACCTGTAAGGTGTCTGACATTAGAGTATAATTATACTGAGTATAAATAAAAAATAAATTTGATTTTTCCCCTTTACCCCTTCCTTCCCCATTAAGTTAAATCTCCCTCTCACCTGCTTTTATACTATTATTTAAGCTGAAGAGGAAGGAAGGTGCTAAAATGAATTAAGAGTTTGATAAAGGCCAAGAGTCATTTACTTTCTCTTTCACTCTAAATGCTTTCTAAAGGAAAGGAAAATGATAGATATGAATTCAGCTCCATTTCATAAATCTAGGATTGTATTGGACCTCTACACACCAACAACATACATATACCGTGCATATAAGACATGAGTTAAAGTATCATCTTTTGGTGTCATGATTTAGACTTGAAATTATAATGCCAAGATGCTTCATTATATTAAGAATAATCATACTTTTTTAAAATTAAAGCATTTTATTACTGAATTAAGAATGGAAAAAATAAGATTCTGGGAGAATCAGTATAAAATCTGTGAATATTATTATCCTTCAGACAGTAATTATGTAATTGAAAGGTTATTGTTTTATGAGAACAGAGTAAATTAATCACTAAATCAATTTTATTTTTTATTTCTTAAAAATAGGAATGTTGTCAGTTCTTACTCTGATATCAAGGTAAGTTGATTGTATTTTGTCATCTTTCCACTATAATAGATAGGATATAAACCTAAATATTCATAAGAATATATCCTTAATTGCAGTTTACATAAAAAAAGGTAATATATTAATTTTATCACAAACTCCGATTTTTGTGTTAAGCCTTAATCAAAAAGAATTGCTCTTCTTCTCTTTCTTTTTCTTTTTCTTCTCTTTTTTTTTTTTTACAGAGTCTCACTCTGTGCCTCAGGCTAGAGTGCCCTCAAACTCCTGGGCCAAGTATCCTGCTGCCTCAGCCTCCCAATGTAGCTGGACTACCAACAGATGCCGCACAGCCCGCTTCAGGCGTATTTCTTTATATATTTAGTTGGGCCAATTAATTTCTTTCTATTTATAGTAGAGACGGGGTCTCGCTCTTGCTCAGGCTGGTTTTGAACTCCTGACCTTGAGCAATCCGCCTGTCTCGGCCTCCCAGAGAGCTAGGATTACAGGCGTGAGCCACCGCGCCCGGCCAACAATAAATATTGACCATCATATCAGTTTAGAGTTATAGAAATAGCCTTTTAAAGTTATTTCCTTATTCAGATTTCTCTGATGGAAAAAAAATAGGCAATGGGAATATAAATCATTAAAAGAGAAATAGTTATTCATTTTATAAATGAATTATATGTGTATGTTACCAAATGTGCTGTCTTAACTTTGTTGTACCTTAATTTTTATTCTGATGAATTACAGTCTGCTATTTTGACCTTGTTTCTTTTTTTCTTAGAGTTGGCTAGAATTGGGAAATAAACAAAGAGCAACAGCTGCTACTGGTATGAATGATAAAAGCTCCCGATCTCATTCAGTTTTTACCCTCGTGATGACCCAGACCAAGGTATTTTTTTGTTGTGGATTATTTTCGCAGGCAAGATAGTACATGCGTTTAAGTCTCATGTCTTTCTTATTTTCTTCTTTAAACCAAAAAGTAAATGCACAGTTATAAATATATAAACTTAATTGGATTTTAGGGAATATACGCAATGACTTTTGGCATAAATGGCAGTATGCCATTTATTTTTAAAATCAGTAATAGATGATTATTAATATACCATTGATATGATCATATCAGTATATATCATATCAGTATATGATCATATCAATGACGTGTGGTAGCCAGGTGTGGTGGTGTGAACCTATACTCCTAGCTGAGGTAGAAGCACTGCTTGCGCCTGGGAGTTTGAAGCTGCAGTGTGCTATGATTGTACCACTGTACTTTAGCCTGGATGACAGAGCAAGACCCTGTCTCTAAAATAAAGAAAAAAAGTAATTAAAGTAATTATAGAGTATTCAGAAAAACATCAGAAAATAAAAGATTTTTAAAAATTCAGCCATAGGTTCTGCTACTCAAATCCCTCTAAACATTTTGGTATATAATCTTTCAGTTGTTTTACAATTGCACTTAAATTCACAATACCTATAAAAATATTATGTTATTAAAATTCTTTGCAAAATAATAGCTATATAATATTCCATTAACTATTATATTTCCTCAAGTTTTTCTCTACTGTTGGATTTTTATATTGTTTTTATATGTTTTGCTATTATAATGCTGGATTGAGCAACATGTTTGTACATTAAGCTTTTCCTCTATTTGTTGTTGTTTCTTTATTATAACTGAGTTATGGGTTTTAATTTTAAGTTTTTTCTTTTATTTTGGCATAATGTAACCACTACTCTCTGTATTCTTTTCAGTAGACTCTGAATTTTTTTGCTTTATAAATTATCACAAAGTCAAGAAGGAATGGTTTTAAAAATAAATGAGTGATTTGTAATCTTGTAAACTTTCACTTTTAGTGAATTGTATTGATGGTGAGTCATTGAAGGACTTAAAGTATTTCAATATCCTTTTGCTATAGACGGAATTTGTGGAAGGGGAAGAGCACGATCACAGAATAACAAGTCGCATAAACCTGATAGATCTGGCAGGCAGCGAACGCTGCTCTACAGCTCGCACCAGTGGAGATCGGCTGAAGGTGAATGGGAGGCTTTTCTCCTTTTGATGAAATTTATTACCAAGGGCATTATTTTTAGGATAATACAAACTGAATATATTTAGTTAAAAAATGTATCTTTATCTTACATTTATAGACTGCATTGCTGTGGTTTAAAGAGAGAGGTGTACTTTTTGGTTGTGATTAATTTTCAAAGAAAATAAATTTTGAGCCATAAGAAAGTTGGCAGTTTGTAGAAGAAAGTGTTAATAATTATATGAGGGGAGAAATGTATTTTGTGAGATAAATTTGTTGTTGAGAAGTTATTTTAAGTAAAAAAAATTTTTAAATCTTGTGTACAGGAAGGTGTGAGTATTAACAAGTCCTTGCTAACTTTGGGAAAAGTTATATCTGCACTCTCTGAACAAGCAAACCAAAAGAGGGTTTTTATTCCTTATCGTGAATCTGTTCTTACATGGTAAGTATCTTCTAAAGTATAAAGAATTGTGTAAAATATAGTGAATACAGGGGAAAAGAATGATAGACTGACTTCATACAACTTTGGGATAAAGAAGAAGTGGTTAGTGGCTGGGCATGGTGGCCAGTAGTAGTGGCTTGTACAAGAGAGCTCAATAAGTGTTTTCATTAGTGCATATATATCTAATTTCCAGTACAGTTCATTCAGATAACATCTGTATGGATTTAATATTCACTTCTGGTAAGCATTGATATATAGTTATGATAAGGACTGCATCTTTACTTATCAGTAATGTGTCTTTATAATTGGTTTATTATAATTTGGTTGCCATCTTAAACCTATAAGAGAAAAATCTGGTTTTTTTCATGCCCTCTAAAAGTTAAGACTAGTTAAATTTATTCTGTACTAATAAAAGATATGGTTTAAGTTTCATATCTTTTTTCCTCTATAATAAAGATTTTACATATAGAATATTTGTTTACATGCCTATTCATCATTTCCAGCATTTAATGAACACCTGCTTCTAAAGATTGTGGTGCTTCTAAAGATTGTGGAAATACAAAGATGACCAAGACACATAGTCCCTTCCCTAAAGTAGCTCATGGTTACATAAAGAGAGAGGGATCTTACTAAATACTTGATGGTTAACTTATTTTAAAACCTCTACAGAGTATTGCTTCATGACACAATATAAAAAGTATAAGAGAAAGCCAGATGTGGAGGCCTGTAATCCCAGCACTTGAGAGGCCAAGGCAGGAGGATTGTTTGAGGCCAGGACTTTGAGATCAGCCTGGGCAATATAGTGAGACCCCCATCTCAATAAAACATTTAAAAATAGGCCAGTTGCGATCGCACGTGCCTGTAGGCCCAGCTACTCAGGAGAGGTGGGAGGATGGCTTGAGCCCAGGCATTGAGGGTTAGAATGAGCTATGACCCCACTACTGCACTCTAGCCTGGGAGACAGAGTCAGACCCTGTCTCTAAAAAAAAAAAACAACAAAAAAACAACAGTATAAGAGGCTGGGCACAGTGGCTCACACCTGTAATCCTAGCACTCTGGGAGGCTGAGGCGAGTGGATCACTCAAGGTCAGGAGTTCGAAAGCAGCCTGAGCAAGAGTGAGACCCTGTCTCTACTGAAAATAGAAAGAAATTAATTGGCCAACTAAAAATACATAGAAAAAATTAGCTGGGCACGGTGGCGCATGCCTGTCATCCCAGCTACTCGGGAGGCTGAAGCAGGAGGATCGCTTGAGCCCAGGAGTTGGAGGTTGCTGTGAGCTAGGCTGACGCCATGGCACTCTAGCCAGGGCAACAGAGTGAGACTCTGTCTCAAAAAAAAAAAAACAGTATAAGAGAAAATAAAGTGTTTATGAGATCTAGAAATAGCTACAAATACCAAAAAGAGTTTTAAATGGTATTTGAGTCAAGAATATAATACTATATTATACACCCTATTGGTTTGTTTTGTTCTTGCTAAGTAATTACTGTTATTCAGTGTTGGAGAAGCAAAGTCTAATTATGACCTTTTTCCTTGAAGGCTGTTAAAAGAAAGTCTGGGTGGAAATTCAAAAACTGCAATGATTGCTACAATTAGTCCTGCTGCCAGCAACATAGAAGAAACATTAAGCACGCTTAGATATGCTAGCCAAGCCCGTTTGATAGTCAATATCGCCAAAGTAAATGAAGATATGAATGCTAAGCTAATTAGAGGTGAATATTTTATACTCAAATATTAACTCCAGTCTTAAAATATGCAGTTTAAGAAAATCAAAGATCTTTTTCCCTCTGCCTATTTTTAATAGATATAGTCATCCTATAGTGATGGAAGGAGACAGGTAGAAAGGCAGCAGGAGAGAGAACAAGTAATAAGGGAGAAACAATCATAGAAAAAGCACAAAATACAGTGTTGGTAAAGGGGAGACAGCAAGCATAAAAAAATTCTATAGACCAAGTCTTAGATGTATGCAGCAAAATACTAATAAAGCTATTTATTATTTTTCTCTTACGACCTTTCTTCCATTATCATTTTATTTATTAGTTCTATTCTTGCTTAGTTCATTGATCCAAAGACTGTTTAAAGAGCTTGAGTTTTTAGTACAGGCCTAACTTCATTTATGCTAAATACTGCTTTCTATTTACCTCTCAGTAATCATCCATTTAGGATAGACTTTGGTATCTGTGAGGAATCTTGATTTGTGCGATTTTATCTTTACTCATATGAAGCTATCATCTTTTCATACCCCTTTATACTCTGGCCCTTTTTAGCAGCAGAAGGTGACAGGCACTTCAGAGGTGTGAGAGCAGAATCTATTTTCTCGGTCTTGGTCCATCCTTTCCCTTTTGTATCTCTTCTGTATTGCAAATGGGGCTGTTTTCATTAAAAATAAGTATTCTGAATTCCAGCTTGAAAATCTTTGATCGTTCACCTATATGTTTTTTTTTTTTTTTATATGTAACTTAAACATTTGTAAACCTATACGTTTTTATGAGTGAGGTGTACCTGGGACAGTCCTGGTTTATGTCTGTTGTCCCCGTGTAATTCATAGTGCCCCCTTTGTCTCTCAACAGTCTCCCACTTTGGACAATACATTATGTGGCCATTTCTATTCATGAAGGGGGGAAATTTCATTAATAGGGGAGCACTTTTTCAGGGTAATGCAGTTAGAGATTTATAAGTCATATAAGTAAAGATGTCTCCAAATACTCTGTTTTATCTAGTAATATTATATTTAAAACTTCAAATGACATAGAGGATTAGAGGATTATGTTTACTGTGGGAATAATTATATGTTAAATGTTATTAACCATGCATTTTTTTAACACATCTTCAGAATTGAAAGCAGAAATTGAAAAGCTAAAAGCTGCTCAGAGAAACAGTCGGAATATTGACCCTGAACGATATAGGCTCTGTCGGCAAGAAATAACATCCTTAAGAATGAAACTGCATCAACAGGAGAGAGACATGGCAGAGATGCAAAGGTGGAATGTCTGGTTAATACTTTAAATATTAAATGTGTTGCTGTGGGATAATAGAACCGATAGGACCTTAAGAGGATACTGAGTCTATCTTTTTCCCTATCCGTATGAATAGAGCAGCCCAATCCCAGATTATCATATTTTAAATATTATTTTGTAGTTTCATAATTTTCATTGATTTTCTCTTGATTCTCAATCTTACATATCCAGATGTTTTTAATTCTATTTGTTTGTCTTTGGAAAGAGTGTGGAAAGAAAAGTTTGAACAAGCTGAAAGAAGAAAACTTCAAGAAACAAAGGAATTGCAGGTATCATTTCAACTTTCTAAATTGATTTGAAAATAACAGAAATATGCCACTAAATAAATATTACCAATATGCCAATATGTAAATTTAATTTCTCAAATACTTATTGTTTATTGACTGTGTAGAAAGCAATGCCATAAGGAGAATTAATATGAAGAGATGTTAAGATCAATATTATGATTGCTTAGAGCCCATAAACTAGTTGAAAAGTTAAAAATATAAACTATCTTGTTATATTCACTTTGGTTCCACAAATATTTATTAAATATCTACACTAGGAACAGGGGAGGCCAAAGTGATTAAATACAGTTCCATCCCTTAGAGAGGTTGTGATCCAGAGGGAGTTTTACAAAATGTAAATAGAGGACTAAAATGCAATGTGATTTGATTGGTTTGAACCATATGAAACTACCATTTCTGTAGTTAAAAAATGGTTGAACACTGGCAGGTTCGTATGGTTCAACATAATGCAGGGAAAAGTATGTAAAAAGTAGAGAAGCAGCAGAGAGGAGGGAATAATTAACTTTGAGGGAGTCATTATCAAGGAGAGCTTCAAAGAGAAGGAGAAAACTAAGAGTTTTGTGCAATGAAGAGGAATTTGCCAGGCTAACAAAGTCAGAATTTTCTAAGCAGAGAAATACCACGTGCAAAGGCATGGAGGTACAATGCAGTCTGGATGTCTAAAGAATTAAGTTTTATATGGTTGGAAATTAAAACTGGTGACAGAGATTAGACTGGAGAGAAATGCAAAATTCAGATCGTGACATATTGAGGAACTTGAACTTAGGTGGAGCCACCGAAGGTTTTAAATGGAAGCGGAGTGACATCAACAGACTTCTGTTTTAAATAGATGGTTCTGGCAGTAATCGTTTGAAAGATGGATTTGCAAGAGGAAGGACTGATGGTGGCAGGGAAAGCTACTCATTAGAAACCTGTTGCTGTGGTTAAGGCAAGAGTTGATGAGAGCTTGGAGTATGGCAGTGACAACAGGAATGAATAGTGGAAGAGTTGGAGTCAGGAAATAGAAAGGAGGTAAAATTGATAGGATTGGGAGTTTTTATTTTAGATGTGGTTGTTGAAAGAAATGGAAAAATCAAGAATGACTCCCAGGTTTCAGAAATCTGTGCATTTCATTGTGTAGTTATAAGGTCATTGAGGTGAAGGAAGAATCCAGATGACAGTGGGTTGAGGAATGACTCAGAGATAAGGAAATAGAGCTGCACCTACGGACTTCTTGAAAGTGAGAATTGTAGAAGTCAGGGAAGGGGGCTGTAAGTTTGGGGGAATGTTTTGCTTTTCTGTTTTGTTTTTGTTTCTTTAAAGGATTGAATATTTTTTATACAAATCAAAATTCCTTAACGGAATGAAATCTAAAGGAAATTGGAGAAGATGAGTCAAGAGCAAAGGAAGTGACCTCAGAAGAAATAATTGAAATGAGTGGTGGGGGGCTCGTACTGTAAGAATTCAGGAGGGAAAGTTCCTTGGGCGTGGCTGGTCCAACCTCACAGAGGAGGTGGGATTTAAGTTGGGTTTTGAAACTTGGATACGATTTTGTTAGGTAGCAGAAAGGAAGAGAGCCTTCTAGGAAGGGAAAATTGTATGAGGGTAAAGATGAGAAACTTTAAGTTGTCCTCAGAAAAGGGTGTGTGGATCAATTTTATTGGAACAAACAGTTTATATGAGGTCATAGGAAATGAAATTGTAAAGATATGTTGTGATTAATTTATGAAGGGCTTGATTTCTGGGCCAAGGAAATTTAGTCCTGTCCTGTAGGAATTGAGAAGCCATTGAAAATGTTTGACCAGGAAATTAACATTTTGGGAGTATCCTTTCAAGAGAATGAATCTGGTATAGGAAATAAGATGGATTGAAAACAGAAGCTGTTGACAGGGCAACCAGGAGGCTGCTGCGGTAGTTCCTATGTGAATTGATTAGGGGCCTGAACTAAGATGATGACAGTGAAGATACAACAAAAGGAACTGATCCATTCTAAAGATAGTCAGTAAGAATAGATGTGATTTGGTGATGATGAGTGGACTGAGGATGTTGAAGGACAGAGAAAGGTCAACATAACTCTAAAAATCTAAAAAGTATGATGGTAACAGTTATAGGGAAGTCATGCAGGAGAGATTCTATAATAAGGACAGATTCTAAGAAACTTAATTTATTGAGGCTTACGTAGAATGATTTTAATGTTTAACAGAGACCATTCGTTTTAGGTGAATTTAACAATTTCATGCTGTAGTTAAGACTAATTTTTTTTCTTGACTTCTACTAGAAAGCAGGAATTACATTTCAAATGGACAACCACTTGCCAAACCTCGTTAATCTCAATGAAGATCCACAACTATCGGAGATGCTGCTATACATGATAAAAGAAGGAACAACTACAGTTGGAAAGTATAAACCAAACTCAAGCCATGACATTCAGTTATCTGGAGTGCTGATTGCTGATGATCATTGGTATGTTAATCTTCTTAAAAAAAGGCACCTGTTTGTTTTTCAGTAAGCTTCCATATCTTGATGATATGTGGTTTCCTTTAAATGAGATATTCATTTATACTGATTCTTTGATGTAATTCTTCAAACTCATCTTTTAGTCAGGAAAAACACAAATTCTGAGTGTAAGAACCATAGGTCAGTTATCTCAATATTAGGTACAATATAATACTTTCAATATTGTTTTGGTGTTCTTGATCTTTTGATTGTGGGATAATTTCTTTTCTTGGAATTATAATGATGGGCATAAAAGTAAATTTCTATCTATCTTATATGGCAGAATTTTTGGTTAGATTGACAAATTTTAAAATTGACAAATGTTCACATAAATGGAATGAAATTTGTGTGTGTTCTTGGGATTATAGTATGCGTAAACGTTTTTGGCTGTGTCTTGTATTTTCAAGACTTTTCCGTGTTGATCTGGTTTCATTTTCATTGCTGTGAAGTATTCCAATATATGAATTTATCTCTTATATTATTATCTATTAAAATCTATCTATTTTGTTGACAAACATTTGGGTTCTTTATAATTTTTTGCTTCCACAATATTGCTAAGAGTATTCTTGTACATGTCTCCTGGTACAAATGTGAAGAATTTCTCTAGAGCAAGTTTCCCCAATGATAAGCTGAGATACTGACCCTGAGAGCCCTCAGGGCAGCTGGTAGCAACTTAGGAGGCCTGAGCTGCCAGATCATAATTTTCTAGTTTTGCTATAATAATAATTTTTAAAGTTTAGGAAGCACTCCTAAATTGTATGTCTAAGAGTAGAGACATTAGGTTGAAGGATATGTGCATATTTAACTTTAGTAGGTAATTTCAAATTGTTTTCCAAAATGTTTATTGGTTTCTACTCCCATTAGCATTGAGAGTACCTATACTGCACATCCTTGTCAGCACTTAGTTCTGTCAGATTTTAATTTATGCCAATCTGGTAAACATAAAATAGTATCTCATTATGGATTCATTTTGTATTTATTTGATTAATAATGAGGTTGAACATCTTTTCATATATTCATTGGTCTTTTTTTTTTCCAGACAGTGTCTCACTCTGTTGCCCGCACTAGAGTGCCGTGGCATCAGCCTAGCTCACAGCAACCTCCAACTCCAGGGCTCAAGCAATCCTTCTGCCTCAGCCTCCCAAAAAGCTGGGACTATAGGCTGCCACCATGCCCGGCTAATTTTCTCTGTATTTTTAGTTGGCCAATTAATTTCTATTTTTTTAGTACAGATGGGGTCTTGCTCAGGCTGGTTTTGAACTCCTGACCTTGAGTGATCCACCCCCCTTGGCCTCCCAGAGTGCTAGCATTACAGGTTTGAGCCACCACGCCTGGCCTTCATTGGTCATTTTTGTTTACTCTTATATGACTTGCCTGTTCATGTCTTTTGTCCATTTTTCAATTGGATTGTTTGTTTTTTCTTAATAATTTGCAGATGTTCTTTTTTTAATTTTTAATTTTATTTTTTAGAACTCAGAATGCAGGTGTTCTTTATATATTCTGGTTGCCAATCCTTTGTGAGTTTTATGTGTTACAAATATCTCTTTTCTAATGTGTGGCTCATCTTTTCATTCTCTATGGTGCCTTTTGATTGATTGAAGTTCTTAATTTTATTGTAGTAACTGGCATCAATCTTTTCCTTTATGGTTGTTAGTTTTTGTGTCTTGTTTAAGAAAGACTGTTCTACATAGAGGTCATAGAGATATTCTCTTAATTTTCTTCTAGATGTTTTGAAATTTCGCTTTTACATATAAGTCCTTAAAGTAGTCTGGAATTTTTTATTTGGTGTGAATCCTCTGATAAATTCATTTATTTCCATATGAATAACCAGTTCTCCTAGTACCACATATTATATAGTTAATCGCTTCTTTTGTGATCTGGAGTGAATCTGTTTCTTCTCATTAGTACCCCCATAGCCTTAATTACTTGAGCTTTGTAATGAATCTTTATATCTGGTAAGGCAAATCCTCTTGTTCTTCAGGTCATTTTGCTCTTCTATTAATTAATTGTTTCCTTTAACAAATAAATAAAGTAGTATTTACATCAGTGGCAAAGATATAGAACATGCTCCCAAATAGTTAAGAGTCTGGTGAGGGACTAGGAAGCTCCCTGTCTTCCTTGAACTCTGTGCTTCTGCTTAAGTATTTTTGTCAGTGTTTGTCTTATTTACTAGACCATGAACTTCATGAGAACGTGTTTCATGTCTGTCTTCACTGCTGGTACATATCTGGCTCTTGGGAGCTCAATGAATAAAAGAACTTTAGTGTTCATTAATGTATTAATATATTAAGTGTTAGGTGAGTACTACGTACTTAGTGCTCAAATGTAAAGAGGAAGAGTTCACTTCTAACTTGAGCCCTGAAGAAAAGCTTCTTCAGGACTCTAGCATTTAAGTTGGACCTTGAAGGATGGTGGAGGTGAGGAGGAGGATGCTCTATGTCAAAGGATGACTTAGAGAAAGGAGGAAAGCCAATATTATGCACATTCAGGGTACTGATATGGTTGGTAGTGAGCTGTGGTTTTTAAGGGGAAATAATGGCAGATAAGGGAGGTTGGTGGTTGAGCCAGATTGTGGAGGGTCCGGAGTGGTAGGCCATGGAATTTTGACAGGAGAATAGATAGAAATAGGAGAGTGAAAGGATCGGAACAAGTAGACACTGTGTAAACCTTCACCTGGTTAAGACACTAGACTGGTGGGAGGATTACTGCCTAAGGGTGAACTATTTTTTTCTAGATACTTTTCTCTAGATGTTTTAATTATTAATTTACTTCAAAATTTCATTGGAGGAAAATAAAATAATTTCAAGTTATTGTTACATATGGATATGAACCTTAACACCAAAGGAATAACCCAAGCAGGATTATCCCATTTTACCTTTTTCTTGCTTTTTATTTAGTATGTCCTGTAATTGTAACAATGTGCTTCTTATTTTAACAGTTCTATCAAAAATTTTGGTGGGACAGTGAGTATCATCCCAGTTGGAGAAGCAAAGACATATATAAATGGAAAATGTATTTTGGAACCCACAGTATTACATCATGTAAGTTGATGGATGCTACAATATAAGAAACTTTGTGACTTTGGGCAAGTTATCTAATTTCTCTGAGTCTCAGTTTTCTCCTCTATAAGATAAGGGAGTTGAGCTAGATTAAGTACTTTTCCATTTCAAAAGGTTTTTTTCCTGTTAATTGCCTTCCTTTGTACAAAGACCAAAGTTATATTATCATGGACCAGTACTTGAAGAACTGACCACTGACAGCATCATTATGTGTCCTATATATAAAGTAGTGGTCCCCAACCTTTTTGGCACCGTGGACTGGGTTCATGGAAGACAATTTTTTCACGGGTGGGGGGTGATAGTTTTGGGATCAATCAAGTGCCTCAGCTCCACCTCAGATCATCAGGCATTAGATTCTCATAAGGAGTGCGCAGCCTAGATCCCTCACATGCGCAGTTTACAACAGGGTTCTGGCTCCTATGAGAATCTAATGCCGATGCTGATCTGGCAGGAGGCGAAGCTCAGGCAGCGATGCACTTGCTGTGCTAACCTGCCGCTCACCTCTTGCTGTGCGGCCCAGCTCCTAGCAGGCCACGGATTGGTACTGGTCCAAGACATGGGGGTTGAGGACCACAGCTATAAAGAGCTGGGCTTTGGAATTAGGTCAGACAGAGTTGTAACCCTGGCTCTGCCATTTGCCATGTGACCTTTGGCAAGTTATTTAACTAGGGGATTGAATAATATCACCCAAATCAAGATACTTTTGAGAGCATTATTAATAATTACAACAGGAAAACAGACATTAGCCAGTATGTTGCAAGCAAACTCAGACATGTCACTCACTATATCTTAGCTTTCAGGGATAATGGAGGATTAAATGAAATAGTAATTTGTGCATAGTTCTTAGAAAAGTATCTGCAAATAGTAAACTGTCAATGAGTGTCTGTTATTATGAAGCTCTGTGCTCTATAGTTTCTTCATTCCTAAAATTGGGATAATAATATGTATCTCATTGAGTTGTAACACATAAATGAGATAATATACAGTCATGTACCATATAATGATGATTTGGTCAATGATGGACCACATATATATCAGTGGTCCCATAAGAGTATAATACCATATTTTTACTGTACCTTTTCTATATTTAGATATGTTTAGATGCATAAATATTTACCTTTGTGTTACAATTGCCTATAGTATTCAGTACAGCAACATCCTGTACAGGTTTGTAGACTAAGAGCAATAGGCTGTAGTATAGCCTAGGTGAAGAGTAGGCTGTACAGTCTCAGTTTGTGTAAGTACACGCTGGTATTCGCACATATCACTGTATATAAAGCACTTAACATGGTGTTTGGCATATAGAAAGTAAGAAATGTTAGTTGTTATGATTTTTATGTTTGTCATTAGTAATATTAGCCTATTTTGAGCATAATTATTTTTCCTATGTAATTTTTTGGTTCCCACTTACCTCAAATAGTAAGTTTTTTGTGTGCTTTAGGGTGATCGGGTGATTCTTGGCGGAGATCATTATTTTAGATTTAATCATCCAGTGGAAGTCCAGAAAGGAAAACGACCGTCTGGTAGAGATACTCTTATAAGCGAGGGTCCAAAAGACTTTGAATTTGCAAAAAATGAGTTGCTCATGGCACAAAGATCACAGTAAGTATTGTTGTTGATATGAAAGTAGTTAAGTGTACGAGAGAGAGGTCTGCAACAGAGAGTCACTTTGTGCTAGTCTCTAGTAATTAACTCTTTGGCTATTGGTTCCTAGTGATGTAATTTTTTCTTGGTACATTCATTCATTCAGTAAACATTTATTGAGCACCTATTAGGTGTCTCTCACTGTACCAGGCGCTGGGGATAAAAGGAATAATAATGGAAATTAGCTCCTATGCTCAAGGAATTCATCATCTTATGGGGCTGATAGACATTTATGACGCCACTGTGACAGACTACTCTGTCACAGTCCTGCACTGTATGGTGTAGGAGCTTACGGAGTGACACTTGGCCCCAGCCAGTGATTAGCAAAGGTTTCTAGAGGGTGAGAAGACGTCCCCTAGAGCAGAGTCGCAAGAGACTATTAGAAGTTAGCCAGAAGACAACTGGGGAAGTATACCTTTGTTTTTCTTTTCTTCTTTTGCCCCAGTTCATGCCATATTGTAGAATTTCTGGCTCAAGCAGTATCCTTGTAAGCCAAATGCTAAAGTATATATAAATAAAATGCTAAAGAATTTGGACTTTATCTTAACTGATAAGGGAACCATTAAAAAAATTTTAAGCAGATATGAGACACTCATAATCAGAATCACATTTTTAGAGAGATCACCATGACCCAAGTCAAGAAAATGGATTAGAGGTAGAGCAAGGTTATAGGCTGCAAATGCAGTTAAGAAACTATTGAATCAAGATAACAATAGTGTGGTCAGGTAGGAGAGAAATATAAAGGAGATAAAATCAACAAGCGTTGATGACCAAAGAGGATGAAGGGAAGAGGAATCAAGAACGACTAGTATGGGGTGGACTAACCTTGCTTTGTCACTTTTTAAAAAGCTCAAAACTAGGCCGGGCGTGGTGGCTCATGCCTGTAATCTAGCACTCTGGGAGGCCGAGGCGGGCGGATTGCTTGAGGTCAGGAGTTCAAACCAGCCTGACAAGAGCGAGACCCCGTCTCTACAAATAGAAAGAAATTAATGGCCAACTAATATATACAGAAAAAATTAGCCGGGTATGGTGGCGCATGCCTGTAGTCCCAGCTACTTGGGAGGCTGAGGCAGAAGGATTGCTTGAGCCCAGGAGTTTGAGATTGCTGTGAGCTAGGCTGATGCTACGGTACTCAGTCTAGCCTGGGCAACAAAGCAAGACTCTGTCTCAAAAAAAAAAAAAAAAAGCTCAAAACTGCCTTTGTCCTCTTTTTCAAATTTTTTTTTATTGTAGTATAATATACATAGCATAAAATTTACCATTTAAACCATTTTTAAGTGCATGGTTCAGTGGCATTAAGTACTTTCACAGTGTTGTGCAACTATCACCACTATCCATCTCCAGAAATGTTTTATCATCCCAGACTGAAGCTCTGTATCCATTAAACAATAACTCCCCATTCCCTAGCCCTGGGAACCACTGGCCCTCTTTCTTTTGACATTCTTATTCTTTTTTCCATATAAAATATATAGAATGGAAATTTCTATATATCATAGTTGCTAAAGCACTTGTTTTTTTTTAGAAGAAAGAAGCTTTTTAGTTTTCTATAATTGCTGATGCTTTTTGTCCTGTATATTGAGAAGTGACAAAACTAACTTAATGTTTAAATATTAAAACTATTCAACCATTATATTCAACCATTATTAAAATGATTGAATATATGATACAATCTCTCCTCTATCAGTTTTTATATCATATGTTTTTAGTCATTTCAATATTTTTCTAATCTATGATCTAAACTATGACATAAACCAAAAGTTGTTGATATATGAAATATAATTTTTGCTGTAACCACTGTTAGTTTAACATAAAATACCCTTATTTTGTGTTTACTATAATATTTACTGCAGTGTTTAATATATGTTTTTATATAATTTATTTTCCTTAAGCATTTGAAAAATATATTCAAATATTAGGCATCTGCAATAGTAACTAAGTTAGAAATAAGCAAATTTTCATCCTGTTTTTTTTATCAACAATTCTAGAGCCAATGAAAATTTTAATAACACGGTTGATAGAATGTCAGAAATTAAGTTTTAAGATTTAAATTTTTGTTACATGGACAGCATTTTAATATGATTAAGAACTATTGTAGTATATAGCCGGGTGTGGTGGCTCACGCCTATAATCCTAGCACTCTGGGAGACTGAGGTGGGAGGATCACTCAAGGTCAGGAGTTCGAAACCAGCCTGAGCAAGAGCAAGACCCCATTTCTACTAAAAATAGAAAGAAATTGGCCGGGCGCTGTGGCTCACGCCTGTAATCCTAGCTCTTGGGAGGCCGAGGCGGGCGGATTGCTCAAGGTCAGGAGTTCAAAACCAGCCTGAGCAAGAGCGAGACCCCGTCTCTACTATAAATAGAAAGAAATTAATTGGCCAACTGATATATATATAAAAAAAAAAAAAAAATTAGCCGGGCATGGTGGTGCATGCCTGTAGTCCCAGCTACTCGGGAGGCTGAGGCAGAAGGATCACTCGAGCCCAGGAGTTTGAGGTTGCTGTGAACTAGGCTGACGCCACGGCACTCACTCTGGCCTGGACAACAAAGCGAGACTCTGTCTCAAAAAAAAAAAAAAGAAAGAAATTAATTGACCAACTAAAAATATATATACAAAAAATTAGCCGGGCATGGTGGCGCATGCCTGTAGTCCCAGCTACTCAGGAGGCTGAGGCAGTGGGATCACTTGAGCCCAGGAGATTGAGGTTGCTGTGAGCTACACTGATACCACGGCACTCACTCTAGCCTGGGCAACCAAGTGAGACTCTGTCTCAAAAAAAAAAAAAAAGGACTATTGTGGTATATAAAGAATTCTTAACATGTACCCTGCAATATCTTGTACTTTGTAGACTTGAAGCGGAAATAAATCAGGCACAGTTGAAAGCAAAGGAAGAAATGATGCAAGGAATCCAAATTGCAAAAGAAATGGCTCAGCAAGAGCTTTCTTCTCAAAAAGCTGCATATGAAAGCAAAATAAAAGCACTGGAAGCTGAACTGGTAAAAGGCAGCATTGAGTTGGTTTTTTTCTTCCTTACAGTACACCCAAGTGATGAGTTGATTGTAATATTGATTATATCCCTATAAGGGAACTGGGGGACTGTCAGAGACTAGAGAGTCAAAGCCACAGTGACTCTTGGCCCTCTTTAATTTTATAATACTTTAGGAAGCAAGTTAGTAGCAGATAATGGCCACTGGAAGAAGAAGAAAAATAAGACTTCTGTCCTCTAGCCCCTTGCATCGTGGCTTTCTCTATGATTTACTGGCAATCTTATATTACCAGAAACCCATTTTAGAGAGGAATACTCTAAAAGTTTGACTATTTAAAAATCTAACTATTTTTAGTTAGGTTAGTTAACCTGAATGAAGTGGAGAAGCTAAAGGGCAGCTTATCTATGATTGAGTAATTTCTTGTACATTGATTAAAGAAAGCTGGAAGGCCGAGGTGGGCGGATTGCTCAAGGTCAGGAGTTCGAAACCAGCCTGAGCAAGAGCGAGACCCCGTCTCTACTATAAATAGAAAGAAATTAATTGGCCAACTAACATATATGTAGAAAAAATTAGCCGGGCATGGTGGTGCATACCTGTAGTCCCAACTACTTGGGAGGCTGAGGCAGGAGGATCGCTTGAGCCCAGGAGTTGGAGGTTGCTGTGAGCTAGGCTGACGCCATGGTACTCACTCTAGCCTGGGCAACAAAGTGAGACTCTGTTTTAAAAAAAAAAAAAAAAAAAAAAAGATTAAAGAAAGGGACCTTTTAACTTCTTTGGTATTATTTTTTTAAAATCCTCTGTTTTTTTTTCTGAGTTATTTTTTATTACTCTTTAAAGAAAGAAGAGTCTCAGAGGAAGAAAATGCAGGAAATAAATAACCAAAAGGCTAATCACAAAATTGAGGAATTAGAAAAGGCAAAGAAGCATCTTGAACAGGAAATATATGTCAACAAAAAGCGTTTAGAAATGGAGACTTTGGCGACAAAGCAGGTAATTTCATTTTATAGCCAATTTGCTCTATTCTGAGGAAAAGCTGTTTTGTTTTGTTTTGTTTTTTAAAGAGGTTGTGGTATCTTGACAAAAGAAACCCAAATGCAGGTCTGTAGGTGAGGATGATTCTTTCTGCCTTAAAGCTTATGTCCTGGTTGTGCTCACAGATCTGTTCATACATCATCACACAGAGATTTTGAGAGAGACAGAGCTCTCTCTGTCTGTGCTAGTGCAGCTAGTTGCACTCCTATGTTCTTTTTTTTTTTATTTTTTTTTTATTTTTTTTTTATTCCCAAAATTCATTCTCAGAGATTATGTTCTTTTTAATGCCTCTACAATTATCTGATCAGCAGTCATGCCAAGTAATGTAAATAAGTGAACTAGTGCTATGGCATGATATGTAGAAGGAAGACAGTTACAGCTATTATAATAGGTCACATCCTGATGTCAGAATGAAATATTATCTGCCCGTGGAAAGAGCAGCAACAGGCTGTCTCCTAAGAGAACACACAGTAGGGCATTCCCTACCCCAGTCTTGCCAGGGTGGTACCTACTTTTGTCTTCTAGGACACAGGCATCTTTCATGGGCTGACTCACATTAACCAATTTCACAATACTGAAAGATAGAACCAGAATGTTAACATATTAATACCTTCAGTCACCTTACTGTCAGCATTTTTGGCCATTCTTTCTCTTCATATTAGTGGTTCTGAAAGTGTGGTCTCCAGACCAGCAGCCTCAGCATCATGTGGGAACCTGTTAGAAATGCAAATTTTTAGGCCTCATTCTAGAACTGTTGAGTCAGAAACTCTGGGAGTGAGGCCTAAAATCTATTTGAACAAGCCTTACTGGAGATTCTGATGAATACCAAAGTTTCAAAACCACTGTTTTGGTTCTTTGGTTTTACTCTCAAATAATAATTTTATTTCTCTTTTATTCCAAGTTTATGGGGTTGGTGAGACCAGAGACGGGGGCTGGAGGTAGAAGCACATACTCCTAGTAATCCCAAAGTACTGGTGCTATAATAGAGTGAAAGGCACAAAGTGGCTAGTGAACTACCACAGAGAGTTTTAGGAGAAAAACATAGAACTGTTTAAATCTTGAAAACAATTATTATTAGTGGGCTATGGGCTTAAATAAAGGCTTATTTAAGGCTTAATAAGGTTTATTTAAGCCCAACTAAGTTTCTTGTGTCTTTTATATTGAACTTCTTTATTTAGTCAACAAATGTTCTTGAGTGTGGCGTTTTTTGAGCAGTTTTTCCCCCTAAATTTTCTTATTTCCTATCAATGGGAAGAAATAAATTATGTCATCAAAAATTCCCAATGATTTTGTTGTGGGAAAAAAATCATTTTATAAGGAAATTTTATAAATTATTTTATAAAAGCCTTTTATGTTTAATAAAATGCAAAAACATGTTAACTATATATGCTTAATAAAACATGTACTATAAAATGAAGTTTAATTATAGTTTATCATTCTGATTTTTTTTAAAAAATAGATTTTGTTATGTATATTTATACAATGTGATGTTATGGGACACATATAAGTAGTAAAATGGTTACTATAGTGAAGCAAATTAATATATCCATCATCTCAATCTAGTTTTATGAATTTTCTCTTTGCATATTCTCACTTGTGGGTCTATATGAATGATTTCAATTAGGCTTTAGAAGACCATAGCATCCGCCATGCAAGAATTCTGGAAGCGTTAGAAACTGAAAAACAAAAAATTGCTAAAGAAGTAGAAATTCTACAGCAGAATCGGAGTAATAGGGATAAAACTTTTACAAGTGAGTATATGCTGATTTTAGCAAACATTTTCTAAAATTATATATGTTATTACAAATAATTACTAAAATGTTAGAGTTACTTGCCTTTTTATATTCAAAATGCTTTTTCTAGGCTGTGTGCGGTAGCTCACGCCTGTAATCCTAGCACTCTGGGAAGCCGAGGCAGAAGGATTGCTTGAGGTCAGGAGTTCAAGACCAGTCTGAGCAACAGCGAGATTCCATCTCTACTAAAAAAATAGAAATTAGCCAGGCAACTTAAAATATATAGAAAAAATTAGCTGGGCATGGTAGCACATGCCTGTTGTCCCAGCTACTTGGGAGGTTAAGGCAGGAGGGTCGCTTGAGCCCAGGAGTTTGAGGTTGCTGTGAGCTAGGCTGACGCCACGGCACTCTAGCCCGGGCAACAGAGTGAGACTCTGTCTCAAAAAAAAAAAAAAAATTAAGTAATTTTTGTCAGGAATCATTCTGCCTAGTGAAATGTTAGTGCTCATAATGTATTTTGAATCTTCTTTATGTACTTTCTATTAGTTCAAACAAATTGGAGCTCCATGAAACTCTCAATGATGATTCAGGAAGCCAATGCTATCAGCAGCAAATTAAAAACATACTATGTTTTTGGCAGGTGAGTAATTATCCTGATTATAAAATATTCTTTGTTTTAAACCAGTTGACCCTCCTGTAATTTAGTTTCTCTAAAGCCTAATCTACAGTTCCTGTCTAGGAGGGAGGTGGCATCAGAGTCCCGTGGGACACTTGCAGACTCCCTTTTTAGAGCTCACTTCGGAGTGAGCGAGGTTTCCGCAAGTAACACACTCATCTATTTATAAGTAAAATAATTTTAGATGTTTTAGAAATTTGCTAATTTTCTTTTGAGTTGAGAATTTATTAGTATTCCACTTTTTAAAAAGGGATGTATGTACCTTATTAGAATTATTGTGATTTTTATAATTTTTATATAAGAAGTTATTTTTATATGGTGTCTATTAGACATGACTATCATAATAATAAAAATACTTAACCGTAGAAAGATTAAATCAGTGGACTGAATTTTTATGGAAATTATTCTGCTCTAGAAAACTCTTAGTGTAAATGGGTGTGTATGCTTTAGGATAAACATTTTTTTGTTTGTTTGTTTTTTCTTTCAGACATGATGTATCAGATAAAGGTAGTTCTGACACTTCTATTCGGATTCGGAACCTGAAACTAGGGATCTCAACTTTCTGGAGTCTGGAAAAGTTTGAATCTAAACTTGCAGCAATGAAAGAACTTTATGAGGTTTGGAATGTTATTAAATCTCTATAAACTTTTTTTTTTTTTTTTTGAGACAGAGTCTCACTTTTTTGCCCTGGCTAGAGTGAGTGCCGTGGCGTCAGCCTAGCTCACAGCAACCTCAAACTCCTGGGCTCAAGCGATCCTCCTGCCTCAGCCTCCCAAGTAGCTAGGACTACATGCATGCACCACCATGCCCGGCTAATTTTTTGTATATATATTTTTAGTTGGTCAATTAATTTCTTTCTATTTTTAGTAGAGAAGGGGTCTCGCTCAGGATGGTTTCGAACTCCCAACCTCGAGCAATCCGCCCGCCTCGGCCTCCCAGAGTGCTAGGATTACAGGCGTGAGCCACCGTGCCCGGCCTTCTATAAACTTTTTAAAATAAAAAAAATATAAAAGTGACATAGTCTCAGTAAAGAAAATTTGGAAAATAAAAGGCAATCTGTCAATTACCCAAGCCAACCAATGTTAAGAATGATGTATATTTAATTTACTTTTGCATTTAAATGGGGTTTTATTGGTTTGTTTTAATGTAGTTATAAGCATAATAGAGAAGTTTAGTGCTGAATCTATTCGGTTATAATTGTATATTTTAAAATTTTTATGTTTAAGCTTAAGGGAAGAAGAAATTTGATAGACATAAAGCAAATTGCATCATTTGAATTTATCTTCCTATGGCTAATAATGTGTATTTTTACATATTTACATTGACATTTTCCCATTGCTGTGCTTTGGATATTTTCAGTTGTTTTCCGCTTTTTATAGTCACAACTAAAAATGTCTCTGTACATATTAGTTTTTAATATCTTATTTGCTTGTCTTCTATTTTTTTAAAGTGGAACTCAAAATATGAGCTTTTTGTTATTACGCTTTGATGCTCACTGACAAATTGCTTGCCAGAAATATTATCATTTATCAATGTTACTAATTTGCTTTAATTTGTATTTTAATAACTGGTGACTCTGAGGGTTTGACTCTTTGTTTCTTTAAGGATAAATAAAGTATATGTTCCTGCCCTTTGAATTTTTTGTTAAGTGAAATGTGGGCAACGAGCTATTAAGTACAAGTTCTTATATACAAGTTCTATACAAGTTCTTTACATATTTTGATAATAAGCCTTTATATTTATCATATACATTTTTTCCTGATTATATAATCTTTTTCTTGGTTTCATTTTGTTATGCGGGCATTTTTAATTTGGTATATTTGAATCTATTAACCCGGGTATTGTTCAACCTCTGCTTTTTTTTTTTTTTTTTTTTTTTTTGAGACAGAGTCTCACTCTGTTGCCCAAGCTAGAGTGCCGTGGCGTCAGCCTAGCTCATAGCAACCTCAAACTCCTCGGCTCAAGCGATCCTCCTGCCTCAGCCTCTCAAGTAGCTGGGACTACAGGCATGCACCACCATGTCTGGATAATTTTTTCTATATATATTTTTAGTTGGCCAATTAATTTCTTTCTATTTTTAGTAGAGACAGGGTCTCACTCTTGCTTAGGCTGGTTCTGAGCTCCTGACCTTGAGTGATCCTCCCACCTCGGCCTCCCAGAGTGCTAGGATTACAGGCGTGAGCCACCACTCCTGGCCTGCATTTTCTTTTAATTTGTTAAAAATGTTTACATCTTTGAATCACATAGGATTTATTGTGATGTTTTGTGAGAGGTATGAATTTAAAGTTAATTTTTTTATTTATCACTAAAATAGTTGCATCATGTATTAAATTGTTGCATTGGTACTGTTTGTCAAATATAGTACCTTTAAGTAATGTGACTCTATATGAAATTATGTTCCACACTATTTAGGTAATTACAGTGATGAAGATATATGTAAAAACTTATAGGATGCTGACAAAGTATAGCCTAATACTTGAATTGCTTTAATAGAAAAATGAAAATAAATATTTAACTCAATCTAGGAAATAGTAAAGTAAAACAAAGGAAAGCAATTGAAAGAATCATTATAAGATAAAAATAATAATGAATTAGAAATAAATCAAAGTTCTGGTTCTTTGACAAAATAAATATGATTTTAGGAATGAGAAATGGTATTTGAAGATAAGGAAAACGTTTAAAAATTTTATTTATAAAATTTTATTCTAATCAATTTAACAATTTTCTAACGAAGAAAAGACTTCCTAGAAAAAAATAAATTATGAAGTCTGACTTAATAGATGAATAACTTTGTAATAATTTGAAAAGTTTGTCAACAAATTGGCCTCAAGGAAAAAAAGTGGAGGAATAAAAGGTGCTGATCCCAGTCAGTTTTCTGGGTAAGCTCTCTTAAACTTCCACAGAACAGATAAATCCTATTCTGTTTAAACTATTCTCTAACATAACAAAAAATAGAAAGTGTCACAGTTCATCTTATGATGCTAGAATAACTCTGATTAAAAACAAAACAAACAAAACCCACAAAAACTGGAAAGATGACTCAGAAGAAAATTACCAACCAATGTTAATATGAACACAGCTATAAAAATCCTGAATGAAATGTTAGTAAGTCAAATCCCAAACTATATTTAAAGACTGCTTATACCATGATCAAGTAGGGTTTATTCCAGGAATGGAAGGTATATTCACAATGGAAAATCCAAAAAGACTGAAAGGAATCTTACCAAAACATTGGTAGTGTTTATGTCTAAAGAATGGGATTTTGAGTTGTTTTAAATTTTTCTTTGTGTTTATATGTATTAATAATCTCCAGATTTTCTACAATGAATTTGAATTGCTTATGTCTTTTTAAATTTTTTTATTTTACGTTTTTTAGAGGCAAGGTCCCACTCTGTTGCCCAGACTGGAAGTGCAGTGGCATCATCATAGCTCACTGCAGTCTCAAATTCCTGGGATCAAGGGGTCCTCCTGCCTCAGCCTCTCAAATAGCTGGGACTGCAGGTGTATGCCACCATGCCTGGCTAATTTTTCCATTTTTTAAGACATGGGGTCTTGCTCTTTGGCCTAGGCTACTCTCAACCTCCTACCCTCAAGCGATCTTCCTGCCTCAGCTTCTGAAGTTGCTAGGATTATAGGCATGAGCCACCACACCAGACTGTCTGTGTATTTAGAATAACAAAAAATAGTATTGAGATCATTTGACCATTCTTGCCATGCCATATACTTTAAAACCTAGTAGTTGAATTACCCTCACTGTTAACTTACTTCCTACTTTCAGCTATTCATTACAATTCTTTACTTGTTTTTCCATAAAATTATAGTGTCTCTGAATCAAACTCTATATAATGTTTTGCTAGAATTTTAATTGATATTATTTTAAATATATAAAATATAGATTATTATCATGATCAATATGTTCAGCCAGCAAGTGCCTGCATCTTTACATCGTTAAGATTATTCTTTCATTTCTTTCCTGAGGATTTTATCGTTTTTGTTTTTACTATGACTTCCAAATCCTAAGTTTATTATTTATAATTATTTAATGATTTCTGTTGCTTTTAGTAAAAGTAGATCTCTTTTAATATAATACCTAATATCATATGATTGATTTGTAATTTTATCAGGAATGTGATTTTTTTTTAGACTTTTGTTAGATGACCTGTAATTTTAAAAATTTTATGTTGTAAATGTAAAGTATTTAAACATTTTTTTCTTAGTTGCTAAACATTTTTTCACCCATAATTAATGAAACTATATATGGCATTTTTCTTAGAGTAATGGTAGCAACAGGAGTGAAGATGTCTTTTGTGATCCTGAAGATGAATGGGAACCTGACATTACAAATGCTCCCATTTCTTCATATTCTAGAAGGAGGTAAAGACATTTTTGTTATTGGTTTTCTTGTTCTGGAGAGATTATATATATTATATATACATATAATTTCCTTATTTTAAAAGATGGATATGTCTATGAAGGGAACCCAGAAATATAAAAGTAATAGTATGGGACTTTTTTGTTTTTGTTTCTGTTTTTATTTTGAGACAGAGTCTGGATCCATTGCACCGAGCAGAGTGTAAGTGGCCTCATCATAGCTCAGTGCAACCTCAAACTCCTGGGCTCAAGTGATCCTCCTGCCTCAGCCTCTCAAGTAGCTGGGATTATAGGTGCATGCCACCATGCCTGGCTAATTTTCGTATGTTCAAGACGGGGTCTTGCTCTTACTCAGGCTAGTCTCAAACTCCTGAACTCAAGTAGACCTCCTGTCTCGGCCTCCCAGAGTGCTAGGATTACAGGCGTGAGCCACTGTGCCTGGCCAGGAATAATATGTTGGTGATCAAGTTACAGTATTTAGTGCATTAAATTGTTCATCAGTCAGTTAGAGGAACCAAAATGTTCAGTATTTATCCTTAAGTCTTAAGTGCAACTTAAAGTAGCATAAATCTAATTTCCTATAAAAATGAACAGTATTTATTACTTTGAAATTACTCTTAAGAACTCGGCATGCTTTATGATATTTTATTGTAACTTATAGAATTTTAAATACAGTCAAGTTAATATGAGCACCACAAAAGAATAAATCATGATGATAGAGAACATCTATACGTGACAAATGTTGCTTATTAATAACTCAAAACATAAGACTTCCACAGCGAATAACAGATGCTTTTCTAGGTAAAACTTCTTTTGCTTAGACCTCTGATGCTTAGAGAGAGGCAAAATGGTATCATGGAAAGGCTTTGGACTTGGAAGGAACTTAGCTCCTTAGTTTGGTGGGTTTTTTTGTGTTTTTTTTTGAGACAGAGTCTCACTTTGTTGCCTAGGCTAGAGTGAGTGCCGTGGTATCAGCCTAGCTCACAGCAACCTCAAAATCCTGGGCTCAAGCAATCCTCCTACTTCAGCCTCCCAAGTAGCTGGGACTACAGGCATGTGCCACCATGCCTGGCTAATTTTAATATATATATATATTAGTTGGCCAATTAATTTCTATTTATAGTAGAGACAGGGTCTCGCTCTTGCTGAGGCTGGTTTTGAACTCCTTACCTCGAGTGATCCACCTGCCTGGGCCTCCCAGAGTGCTAGGATTACAGGCGTGAGCCACTGCGCCTGGCCCTTAGTTTGGTTTTTAAACAAATATTTCTGTGATGACTGCTGTCTACCATGCCCTAAGGAAACAAAGATAAATAAAAAATACTCCCTGTCATCAAGGACCAGGAAATAAGGAAAGTAGAGGCAGGAGCAGGTGATGAAAACTTGAACTAAGGCTAGGCAGAAGGACTGAGAGGAGAGTCAGATTTTATACATATTCAAGATGCAGAATCAAGTGGGTTTGGTTACTTACTAGTCATGGGGTTGAAGGTGTGAAAGGCAGAAAGATGACTCCTGGTTTTAAGTTAGGTGACTGATGAGAGGAAAGTGGTATTCCTTGAGATGGAAGGTAAGAGGAGTTTACTTTTGAACATGAGAGTTTGAGGTTGCTAGGGGACATCCAGGTGTATATTCAGATCTAGAACTTTGAAGGAGGGAGTTGGGAATTTTCAGGATGTTAAGGGTCAATATTATTCATCTATGAACAGAAGCATTGTCATTTTCAATACCCCTCACTGAATGCCTGCTGAACATCATCTCATTTAGCACTCACCACAAACCTGTGAAGTAGGTGTGCTCATTATTCCCATTTTACAGATGAAGAACCTGAGAAGTTAAGTAACTTGTCCAAAGTCACAGAGCTGATAAGATGAAGAGCTGGTGCTCAAATCTAAGTTTGGGTGACTCCAAAGCTCCTGGCTTTCATAACTGCCAAGCCATATTGCCTCTCCGGTGCATGTGAAAGAGCAGTGTCTTTCTGTTTAAACTGACCATTTTTGTTTTTTTAAACATCATTGTCCTTGGCTGCAGGTCAGAATCAATTTGGGTTTCCATACCTTTTTAGGCCTCTCTCATTGTTTTTGATCCGGCTTATTTTAAACTAATTTTCCTCAAAGAGATTGATGGAATAATTTATAGTGACTGTTTCCCTATAATTTCTGCTTTATTTGCTGTGTGCTAACTGCTAAGCTATGGTAAAAAATTACTAAGACACAACAAGCATTACCCTGAAGGAGTTACAAAGCATATCATTTAAACAAAAATGAGCTCCTTGAGTGTGGGTAACATATCTATATCCCCTACAATGTAGTACAGTAAAAAGGTCACAGCCTCTGTTATCTGAGTCCTGGGTTCTAATCTATGCCCAGTGTGGTCATGGGCAAGTGACCTTACACCTCTAGGCTTTAGTTTTCTCATCTGTAAAATGGAGACAGTCATATATATGATACCTACTCTACAGGGATTTATTGTTAAAATTAAGTGAGGTCATATGTATAGTGCAGCTACTGCTCCTGCTGCTGCTTCTATGATCATATGATCTACAACATGGGACTGATGATGATGTTGCAGAGTTTTTATAAGGATTAGAGACAGTGTCTATAAAGCTCCTCAGCAAGGGGTGGGAATTCAGTAAATGGCAGCTCTGATTATTATTGCGTGCTTAAGATAGATTAAAGAAGATTAAATCTTAGAATACAGAGAAGGTATGGTTTCTGGTCCAATACCAATAAACAGATAATGATATCTTCAGGTGATTTGTCTTGAGGACTCAGGATAGAGTTTGGCTCTGGTACTACAGTGAGCTGAAGATGGTCTTTGGTGGAACTGGGTGGATAGAGTTTGGGATACTTAAGCCAACATAGAATAACATAAACCTCCCCCAAATTTAAACCAGACCAACAAATTCGTCAGAGAATGATTTATGAATTCCTTTGGATTTTAGAATTACTGATTTCTTGTTATTTTTATTAAATAGCTGTAAACTTTGTATACTTAGAATTATGGATCACAATATGAACATTGATAATGAGCATTAGAATTTTAGCCTAATGAATGTTGGTAATTTGCATCTTATTTCCTACTGCCTTTTGATTACTAATTAGGGAATCAGCAGAACTTTAAAATGTTATTAAAAATCAAAACGTCTCTTAATATTTTGTAAGATTTTGAAATTGTTTTCATTTGGTAGAGATATTTCTGGGAAATTCTATAATTTAAAAGTATCATATTTTTAAAAAAATGAATTGCTCTTAGTCTGAGACCTTGTGTATGAAGTTTCAGCCTTGTAAGAATGTTTATGACAGAATTGCAAACTCTGAGAATGCCTACAGGTAATGGAAACACTGACAGATCCTTAATTATAGAACTTCTACTGGGCAATGATATGCCACAGTTGTTCTGCAATAAAATAGACTGGTTTGGCTGCCTATAAATTTGGATATGTGCTGTTGACAGTTAAAAGTAAATTTTCCCCTAAGGTTAAGTAAAAACTCTTTGAAAGGAATGTGACAAGCATTTTCTTTATTTGTGTTTAAACATTGTTTAACTATGATAGTGTTGAAAGAATAACAGTTTTCCTGGTTTAGACTTACTATAATAATGTACCCTTTTTTCTCATCCATAAGTAGGAAAACTGTAATATTTGAGAATTAATATTTTCTCTCCCTATTGTCAGTCATATTTCTGTGTTTTTCTTCTAGGAATTCATGGGGGAAATTTTATATCTGGAACATTAAGGCTACTACTGATAGAATGCTTTTGCTTAACAATCTTCAACAAATAGTCTTTTTCTTTGAGTGGCCAACAGTAGTAGAGAGTCCTGTTAGGAAAAAGACTCCAAAGGATCCACTAACTTTAGATCTAGGTCACTGCTTGAGTGGTTTCACTGACATACAGAACTGGAGCTGGAGTTCAGAAATTTGACAGATGAATGACAATGTGGAAGTAGGCTGCTTTTTCCAGTAGGCTCCTTTATTGAGAAACAGTTACAAAGAGTCACAGCCAGACAGCCACTCAAGGCAGAGATTTGAGCGTTTCTATAGGCTGAGGAAAAAGTGGCAGCAAAAAGAGCAACTGGAGTTAGAACCATTTCCTCCGTTTGTGTTCCTGATAAGCTTCACAGGCATTATGCTTTGTCTACTGTGCAGCAAATATTTACTTAGGTGGTTGTTGCCCTAGATCACTTCCCTGTTTAAAACCCTTTTGTGGATAATTCGTTCAGCATGAAATCCAGGCTTCCTTAATTGGCACACAAGGCCCCTCCACACCTCCAGCCTCACCCCCTGCTGTGTCTGAGACACTATTCTCTGCTTCCCAAGCCTGCCCCGTTTGGCTGAGGTTTGCTAGCCCTTCACTGCTGCAGGAGACTGTCCTGTCTGCTTGGGCCAGGTCAAGTTCTACCATAACATCACTTTATTGTAATTATTTGCCTAATTTCCCTCTTTTGCTCTGGACTTTAAACACAGTGAGCCCATAAAACATGTTTGCCGTGTTTCACCACAGTATCCAGAGCCTGTAAGTAGTACTCAGTAAATATTTATTCTATTTAATTAACCATGTGCTGAGAACAGTGCTTATACATAGTAAAATTCTTTCTCAAAAAAAAACACAACAAATTAATTTAGCCCTTGATAAAAAATCTTCATGGAAAACACAAACAAACATACATTTCCATTTTCTTTAGAGTATTTAAAAATAAATACTCTTAATAATGTTATTTCATATGGTGTGTAACTACTAATCTATGGTTTGTCTTTCTTCAGGAGCAGGAGTCTGATGAAGAACAGAAGAATTTCTGGTTGTTTACATGACATACAAGTCTACCCAATTCAGAATTTACATTCTTCACGTTCATCAGGTATTTTTCTCATCAAATTTTTCATGCTGTGAGAAAAGCGTCAAGTCCTGGCTCTGTCATTACCTTGTTTCCTGTCCTTGTGCAAACCGTTTCATTTCCTAAAAACTTCCATTCCTCTGTAAAGTGAAGAAGATGGATTGGATGGCCCCTTTCATGTCTAAAATTTTGTGTTCTGTGATTTATTTCAAAGCCTTTTAGTAAAGTGGCTAATTCAAATGTGGAAGACATAGATATGTTCAGAAATATATGAAAATATTATTTTCTTATAAGTGAAAAAAAAACAAAGTACAGGGGATGTATGTATTATATACTATAATTTGTGTGAGCAGGAGAAAAAAGATGTTGTATACATAGATACTAAATACATCGAACAGTGCTTAGAACACTGGCCTCAAACTCCTGGCCTCAAATGATCCTCCAGCCTCAGCTTCCTCTTTAGTTGGGCCTATAGGTGTGCACCACCAGCCCAGCTAATTTTTTCTATTTTTGGTAGAGAGGGTCCTTGCTCTTATTCAGGATGCTCTTGAACTCCTGTGATCCTTCCTCAAGTGATCCTTCCACCTTGGCTTCCCAGAGTGCTAGGATTACAGGCATGAGCCACAGCATCTGGCCTCATCTTGACTTTATGGTCCTAGTATATTTAATGTAAGGTAGATTAAAATATGTTATAGGGTTTTTTTTACCAGCAAAATACAAAGATACATATCTGTGGTAGCAACTTATTCAGTATTTTCTGAGAGTAAGATGTTTTACAAAAGTAATTTTAAGGGTAAGTGAGAAATACAAGAGATCTTTGTTTATTTGCAGTTTTCAGAGAGAGAATGGAAACCCACATGTGCACTTAGTAGAAATCTATCTGGGCAGCTGTGAACGGTGGACGGAGGATCAGACCTGGGGTGGCAGGCTACTCCTAGTGTCTAGCAGTTTCCAGCTTTGGGAAGTTGAGCAGGAGTCATAACTTCTCATATTAAGGGTCATATTTTTAAATTAGAATTTTGTAGGTCTTTCTAAAATGTTGGATTTTAGAATGCATTAATATAGTTATCTTCTTAAACAGACTAGTTAACTCTTAGTGACCATAATGTAGTCATTTTGTCATCATAATGATATTCATTATTACACTGTGGCTTTGAGTTTCACAACTTTTCTTTCTCTTCTCAAATCAAACTCTTCTAGACTTTTAATACTCCTCACCCTATGCCTTTAGTCTACCTTCCTTTTAGTTCACTGTTTCTTTTTTTCTGGAGACAGAGTCTCACTTTGTTGCCCAGGCTAGAGTGAGTGCCATGGCATCAGCCTAGCTCACAGCAACCTCAAACTCCTGGGCTCAAGCAATCCTGCTGCCTCAGCCTCCCGAGTAGCTGGACTACAGGCATGCGCCACCATGCCCGGCTAATTTTTTCTATATATATTAGTTGGCCAATTAATTTCTTTCTGTTTATAGTAGAGACGGGGTCTCGCTCTTGCTCAGGCTGGTCTCGAACTCCTGAGCTTGAGCAATCCTCCCGCCTCAGCCTTAGTTCACTGTTTCTAATCACCTATAGATTGGACCAGAAGACTAATCTTACATATTAAATGAGAATCATTATACTCCATATATTCATACTCCAAGATAAGGTTATTTCCAGAGGATCTGAGCACTGTTGCAAGTTTTTCCATTTACTTTTGTTTGAACAGTGCTTAGAAAATTATGCTTTTTGAAAGTCTATCTCCCAGAGATATGCTGTATTAACTGTAGATAATCAGTTGGCTTTGGTCTATCTTGATTGTAGTATACCTCGAGAAGGAACTATTATAAAGTAGAGGTATTGAGACATTCCTTTTTTTTTTTTTTTTTTTTTTGAGACATTCCTTTTAATATGGCTTATTGTTGTCTACTTTTCTAGTTTATGAATTAATCAAATTCCTAATTTTATTTTATGTAACCATCATTGTTTTCACCAATTTACAGTTTGTTAGGTGTTAGAGAAAATGAATTCCTATCAAAAATTAAATAAATTAGGAGAGTAAGCCAATGGTTATGTGGGATATTTGGATTCTCTGTATTGTAGTTAGGAAGCTACTGTCTACCGATTGATGCTGTTGAGAGGCTAATTGATCCCTGCATGGAATTGTGTTTTCACTTTGGCATATGGAAATAAGGGTGAATTAAAAATAAGGAGAGCCTACTTTGAACTTATTAACCAATGATTCTATAATATGCTTGCATTAATGCATTTGTTTGAAAGTAAGTGCCTGAAAATGAGGCTTCAGATGGCAATTTTCTGTTCATATAGGTGTAATGGAGAAATCAAGCACCATTTACTCAAATTCAGCAGAATCATTTCTTCCTGGAATTTGCAAAGAACTGATTGGTTCATCATTAGATTTTCTTGGACAGAGTTATGATGAAGAAAAAACTATAGCAGATAGCCTGATGAAGAATTTTCTCAAAATTTATGATGCGCTATTTGCCATTTCCAAAGCTCATGAAGAACAAGATGAAGAAAGTCAAGACAACTGTAAGCAATCCCACTGCTTTCAACTCATTGAGTGATTATTTTCTGCACATTGCACTTTGTCTGGAATGATTATTTGGCACTTCTGGCATACATCTTTTGACCATGTTCAAATGTTTAATGATGATCATATATGAGTTCTTTTATTTGGATAGTATTTCTTCCAGTAATTTTCCTTCTTCTTTCAAAGTGTTTTCTTCTGATCGAGCAACCCAGTCACTTACTATCCAGATGGCATGTGCTTTCGAGCAGCTTGTGGTGCTAATCAGACATTGGCTGAATGATCTTCTACCTTGTACTAGCATAGCAAAACTTGAGGATGAATTGAGAGAAGAAGTTAAAAAACTGGGAGGCTACTTACAGTTATTTTTGCAGGTAAATTGATTTGCTCACTATCATTTGAAGAATTCATTTGTTCAGTATTTATTGACTCTGTGCTATCTGTAAAATTAGATTTGTAGAGTTTTCAAAAGTGCTTTCTGTGTTACAGTCCTGTGGATGTCTATAATTGATTTGTTGAACCAAGACACATGGCTTTCTATGTACCAGTAGTTCCAAGTGATTTACAGTATTAACTCATTTAATCCTCATAACAATCCCAGAAGTGGGTACTGTTGTTACTGCCATTTTATAGATGAGGAAGTGGAGGCACAGGGAAGATATGTACCCCATCCAATGTTACATAACTAGTAAGTGACAGAGTTGGATTTGAACTCAGGCAGTCTTGGGCCCGGAGTTCATGCTCTGTCATTATATTGTGCTGGTCCTCAGTGAGGGGTACTGGGAAGAGAGGCAGATCTTGCTCTGGTTATAGATTGCATTTCAGCCCATGCTGAGTTAGTCACAAGCCTGCCGACATAGAGACAAGGACAGTAACTTTGTTTACCTGCTTACCTTGTATCAGGTTAGTTTAGGTTTGGCAGTGAGGAAGAAGTAGGATAGAAGCTTAGTTTCTCTCACCTCAGATCTGGAGGTGGACATGTTCGTTCCGCTCCACAAAGTCCTCAGCACCCAGGTTCCTTCCGGCCCTCCCCTCTGCAGTGCCCAAGTGTGGCCCTTGATTTCATGGCCCACTGTAGTGGAGCCCATCTGAGTTCAGTGCAGCAGGGTGGAAGAAGTGGCAAAGAGAAAAGGGCCACGTGTGCCTTCTTTTAAGAGAAGTTTCCGGAAATCACCATATGACACTTTTATTTATATATCTTTGGCCAGAACTTCATCATCTGACCACATCTAGCTGCAAGCATCATGGGGAAATATATTTTTAAAATTCTGGACACCTATGTGCCAAGCTAAAAATCCAAGGATCTGTTGCTGTGGAAGAAGTGGGGCCGGATAGTGGAGAATGCCTAGTTGTCTGCCGCCTCAGCAACCTCCTCTGTGAGAATCCCCTGGATATACGAGGGAGCAGATAGGAACATACCAAGAGGGTTAGGTTTCACTTTTAAAAATGGATAATTAGAATTCATAGCAACATATTCTAGAATATCTGGACAAATCTTATGTTTTAGTGCCCACCAAGAGACTTTCCACCTTCCAGCATTATAATAGAATTTCTGTTGTGTCAAATACTTCCTGAATGGGCTATTTACTAGCTAGGATTTGGAAATCTTTATTTAGTTGATCTACCTAGTAAAGTTGAAATTAGATGTTTACTTTTAATGTCCATTGTTCTCCCTTAGGAGGTCTATTTTGGGTCTCTCTACATTTGGTTAAGCACCTCTCTTATTTGCTTCTTTAGTAACTCTGGACTTCACCTGTCATGCCTTTAAATAAATCATATTACTTACAAGCTTGTATACTGCAAAGGGTGGTAAAGTCTGGGAAGGTAGAGGGGTAGAGGGTGCCTTTTTCTCACAAGGCCTCATCATATGATAGATGCTTAGTTGGATACTTGTTATTGAATTGATTATAAATTCACACTGGATGAGGGATGGCTCTGGCTATAGGTATTGAGGAAACAGAGTGACTAAGGGTTGGTCTGCAAACAGGTGTGGGCGAAGTCACAGTGAAGGACACTCTGACAGGGTGGAACTGTGAGAATGGAAGGTAGGGTTGGCCAGAGGCAAAGCTGGAGAACAGAAGCTGACTTAGGCTCAAGCCTGGAGAAGGAAGCTAGTTGGAGGATGGGTTGTGGTGGAGACAGGAGAGTGAGATGTGCTTAGTTGGCCCTCAGATTTTAGAGGCAGCACAAGAATATTGGGGGTAAAAACACACACACACAAAAAAACAAAACCCACTATTGGGTTTGAAAATCTGTTATTTGAACCTGTGCTATATTAGTTGTGTGTCCTTGGACAATTGTTTAACTCTTTGAGTCTCCTGTTTTCTCACCAGGAAAATAAAAATAACTGTTTATATCTGGCAGGGTTGCTGTGAGGTTCAGATGAATTAATGTCATAAGAAAATATCTATTAGAAGGCCCTGGGTGGCGTGGTGGCTCACATCTGTAATCCTGGCACTCTGGGAGTCCAAGGCGGGAGGATCACTCAAGGTCAGGAGTTCGAAACCAGCCTGAGCAAGAGCGAGACCCCGTCTTTACCAAAAATAGAAAGAAATTAATTGGCCAACTAAAAATATATAGAAAAAACTAGCCAGGCATGGGGGTGCATGCCTATAGTCCCAGCTACTCAGGAGGATCGCCTGAGCCCAGGAGTTTGAGGTTGCTGTGAGCTAGGCTGACGCCACGGCACTCTAGCCTGGGCAACAGAGTGAGACTCTGTCTCAAAAAAGGGAAAGAAAATACCTATTAGAGTAATGGTGTGTTGCCTTCTTTTAATTTTTTGGGAAGAACACTTTGAACTTACACTTTTCAACCCATACCCCTGTGGGAAATGTTTTATGTAAGGAATCAAGGATGGAGTGACAGGTGACTTGGAGGGAAAGGTAGGTTCAGTGCAGGAGAGACTTGTTAACGTTAAGCAGGCAAACCTGCACTGTCAGCTCAAGTACAGTTTGAGACTTCTTACCTTGCAGCAATACAATGAGCAGATTCCAGAAGTCAGGGCAAGAGAAGTATTGTGAAGAGTCCCCACAGTGGGTTGGGAACAAAGAAGAAAACCTCAAGAGAGGCCTCCCCATTCTCTTTGGGGGTGGGTGTGCTCCCAGTACCAGTGGAAAGCCTTTTGTTTGAAGGAGTTTGTTTGTTGTTTCCTTTCTCATTTCCCTTCCCCTTCTTCTACCTGTCCTTTTCTTTCTCCCCTGAGAAAAGAAAATATCTTTATTAACCATCTATCAGATGGCTATTGGGACAGGAAAAGTTCAAAGGCAAAAGAGCTACTATTTTGTTCCTTCCTTTTGCCATTCACTTATTGATTCTGTCTTATATCTAGTTAATTTCATACTTGCTCTGTTTCCTATTTGTGTGGAAGACCTTTGAGGGTAGAGACTATATCTTATTCATTTTATCACCTTATTAATAGCTATAGGGCTGCATGTTTTCTGGTTCTGAGACTTTCATGAAGTGAGGTCGCTGTATCAATGAATGCAGATTCTATTTTGTTTTTCTTTTCTCTACCACCCCATATAATCTAATCTATCTGGTACACTGGTCTGTTTTTATCTTATAGGGATGCTGTTCAGATATTTCATCTATGGTAAAAGAGGCTCACAAGAAAGTGATCCAAAGTGTACAACAAGCTGTCAAGTGTGTGGGGCAGTTAGCAGTTCTGAAAGGGAGCAAGCTACATTTTCTGGAAAACAGTGACAATAAAGCTGCCAGTGTCCAGGTAATTTGAAACTTATGTTTCAAAATGTTAGTTTTGAAAGACTTCATCTGAGGGAACATTAGACTTCTAATAATAGTACAGTATCACTAAACATGTCACTTTCTTTTTATTTTTCAAAAGAGCTTGTACTTTTAACAGTTTGGCAATAAGATTTCAAACTGTTTCAGTTTAAGTTGGGTTAAATGTACTGTCTAATTTTACAAAACTTACTTTACCTCTTGGATCCTTGATTTGATGACAGCCATCTATTATGGAGGTTTTTCTCAGCCAGTCAACACATGAAGAACTATAATTCTAGAAAATTTGTATTTGCTTCCTTTAATTATTTATTGCTATTGAAAATGCAGTATTGTATTGGAATGTTACTGTGCTCTAGCAATATAGTATTCTGCCTAAGCTGATAAACATTCTTTATGTTATATTTGGAATACTAAACTATGGATTTGCTAATTTTATTTCCTTGTAAACTTTAGACTTCTTATTTCAGCTTTAGTTGAACTTAATAAACTTAGAATTTATTATAGTCCTAAAATGAGCAGAAAATATAACTTAATTGATTAATTTAAGAGAATGGATAAAACCTGAATTTATCAGTTAATGCTTACATCTTTTTTCTAGGAGGAATTCATGGATGCTGTTTGTGATGGTGTAGGCTTAGGAATGAAGATCCTATTAGATTCTGGACTGGAAAAAGCAAAAGAACTTCAGCATGAACTCTTAAGGCAATGTACACAAAGTGAGGTAAGATGAATAAAAGAGCATTCTATATAGTACCAGATAGTATATAAAGTTGATTTTTAAAAATATTTTAACTCAATTAGATTTTTATGCACTTACATAATTTGTTTTGAATTATTTTTCATTGAAGAAGTTTTTGATACCATGATGTCATGGTGATATTTTCCCAAGTTATTCTTGAGTTTTTACAGCCTCTATTGTTGCTAATATTTTGCTAGATCCATCACAGCTATTTTCAAGCAGACTTCATCCAGTCTGTAGGTGAACTCCTTCCTAAGCCGAGAGGGGAGTGTGGTAGTGACACCTGGTGTTCACTTTCTGCTTGTCTTTTTCTAACTTAGCTTTGTTTAGGTCTCCCTTCTTCTTGAGAATGGAAACTAACATTTATTGATCCAATAACTTAAACTAAATATTTTTCCAGGGAGATTCACATCAAGAATTTCAATCAGCAAAGATTTCAGTAAATTCCTAAAATATGCTTCCTCCCCTCCTCTGGCTTACTAACATTAAAGCCTAGACTCAGTACGGTCTTAGGTGTAGCAGTTAGGAAAGGTCTGAGTTTTGATGTTTGGAGACCTGTGTCTGACACCTGGCTCTGTCACTTTCCACTTATTATTTAGCAAGTCACTTAATGCTCTGATCCTGTTTCTTTACCTGTCACGTATAATAGTACCTTTATCACAGGTTGTAAACTATTTATTTATTGACATTTTTCTGTGACAGTTACTGGCCTAGGCACTTTACATATAACAGTGGTGAACCTCACAACTTTTCAGCATAGGAGTTACCAAGCAACTCAGTGAGTTGGAATACCTTGTCCAGTCAAAAATAAATAAATAAACAAATAACAAAGAACCTACAGAAGAAAAATAAAATATCCAAAGAAAGAGAAAATAGGCTCAAACATAAGGCATTGGAGGAGTCTAATTTTAAAGCTGGAGTCAGAGGGAGAAAGAATCGGAATGTTCTTTTTTTTTTTTTTTTTTTGAGACAGAGTCTCACTTTGTTGTCCAGACTAGAGTGAGTGCCATGGCATCAGCCTAGCTCACAGCAACCTCACACTCCGGGGCTCAAGCGATCCTCCTGCCTCAGCCTCCCGAGTAGTTGGGACTACAGGCATGGGCCACCATGCCCAGCTAATTTTTTTCTATATATATTAGCTGGCCAATTAATTTCTTTCTATTTATAGTAGAGATGGGGTCTCGCTCTTGCTCAGGCTGCTTTCGAACGCCTGACCTTGAGCAATCCTCCCTCCTCGGCCTCCCAGAGTGCTAGGATTACAGGCGTGAGCCACCGCGCCTGTCCACTCTTGAACTATTTAATTGCAATCCCAGAAATAGAACTCCAGTCTTCTGGCTTCTAGACTAAAACTTTTTTTTTTAATCTGGTCCCATATAATAAAATATTTTAATATTAAATATTAAAATTTTAATATTTTAATAAATATTCTCTATAGGTTACCAAACAGATGAAAGCTAATGCCATGGGATTGATTAGATCTCTTGAAAACATCTTTGCTGAATGGAAAATAGTAAGAGAAACTTTAAATTGTTTTTGGTTAATTTTGTTTAGTATATTTATGATTTCACTTGGTTCAAACATAGATATTTTTATTTTAGTTTTTATCCTTTGTGCATGTTTAATTCAAGCATATACAGTAGCTCTCTAGCTACTTCCTCTAGGGTATCATAACTTACTAGTTTTAATAATAGATAAGGAATTATATAGAAATTGATTAATATTAATATATGTTTCTTACTGCTACTGGTTTAGTAATGTGAGCTTTTACTTGGATAATCATTATAGGCTAAAAAATTGTGTTTAATAATCAATCTGCTCAAAGATTTTAAAATATAAGTGAATTAGATTATTTTATTCCCTTGTCACAGGCCAATAGAAAAATACAGACTAAGTGTATAATCAATGTGTTAAAAAGGAGAGTAATTACTATGGCTTGAAATTTTTTATTTAAACAAAATAAATAGAAGATGTGATAAAGTTGAACATCTAAAAGTTAAATAAATTTATCTTTTATGATATTAGGTAATAAGTGACACTGTTGCTTTATTCCATTCTCGTGTAATAGGATGACAAGATTTTGATTTAAAATTAATTTAAAATTCTTATATCTTTTGAAAAACAGTAATTATTATATTGTATTTTAGTCTTATAGAAATAGAGTTAAATACTGGTAAGGAAATTAAACTTTCTTTCTTAAAGATAAGATTCTGGCAGTTGAAATCATATTGACTAAGCCTTATTGCCATATAACCTGTTATATATATATATTTTTTTAACCTGTTATATATTTTTAAAAATATTAACTTTATTTATACAGAAAAGTTTCAGAACTCAAGTATCAGAAGAAACTCCTGGATACCAAGATTTCAAGAAGATGATTAATCTTGCTCCAGAATTCTTGAAGTTAAAACATTGCTTAGAGCAAACTATTCAAATTATTATTTCTTCACTGAGAGGTATATACTACAAATGGAATTAGTAATCAGAATTTTATAATTTGAGGAATCTTAGATATCTTTACATTTCTAGCCTTTTCATTTTTTATGCTACTTCATTGATATTAGTTGCTAATATAGAAATTTGTATAATTGAATTCCCACTTCATATAAGTATTGCTGCCTAAGTAATTAGATCCTAAAAAGCCAGATACTTATCTAGCATGTAAGCACTTTAGTTGACTAATCTTAAATAGTTTGGAATTGTCTTGATAGGGTCACTTCGACTTAAAAGATATCTAGAGTCATATAAAAGTCTTAAATACTTGATAAAAACTAAAAAGGTAAATTAATTTTTCCGTCTCCCTCTTACATAGGATGCAGCAATGATGTAAATCTTCTTAAGAATTGTGTGGAAAGTATTTGCAGCTTGGCCGGCGATTTTAGCAGTGACTGCAGTGTGCCCTCCACCTCTGCTGACGGCTGTGAGGACAGAGGGCCTCACGTTGGCCACAGGGAAGTAGAGTCTCTAGCTAAGTCACTCCTCTTCTATTTTGAATCTGAAGAAAGCCCCGATTTGTTGAAACCCTGGGAAACTTGTAACCAAAACCCCATAGAAGAAGAACAACAGCAGTTAAAATCAAGCAGGGCTGACTGCAGTAAGGAAAAAGGAGTTCCAAAGCGTGTGTACGAACTCCACGGCTCATCGCCGGCAGTGAGCTCAGAGGGAGGCACACCCAGCAGGATTCAGTGGGTGTGAACACCGTTGCGTGGGCACTTTATGACCGCCCATGAAAGAAAAAGAACACTTGGTAGGCAATTTTCCTTGTGCAGGAGAACAGAACAAGAAATCGGTGCAAGTATTTCAAAAAAGTCCATGCCTTTGGTTTTGGTGGCCATATGTTGGGTATAGACAATATAAGCATTATGGAATCCTGGGTTTCAAAATGCATGAATGTGTTTGCAGAAGTTTCTCAGAAATTTTAAATAGGATATTTGCCATATTAGAACATTGAGGCCACAGAATCAAATTAGGAATTCAGGACCAAGTGAATGGTCATGTTTCTAGTTTCCTATTGCCTTAAATTTAAAATGTTTATCTTTAAGATTGATATGCTCTCTCTGATTGGTTCATTAGTCTGTTTGTGAATGGTTATTTTCCCTTAAATGGAAACCTGAACAATAAGTTACCCTTTGTGCCTGTGCCTTCTCTCCCCTGCAGATAGCTGGGATGAGGTTTATGGTGAATTGCCTATACGAATTTAACTAAGACAGCTTACTTGTATTGTTAAAGCTAAAACTCTTTTCCCAAAGGGTTAACTGGTTGCCATTTTGAATAGTATGTTCATGGCAGTAGTTTGTTGTTTCTTTCCAAATTATAAGTAGCTACCTAAATTTAGTATACTTTTATATTAATAATGTGGCTTGCTGGCATAATAGTTTGCTATGTTATCTATGTTGCATAATGGGGGCTGTGTGAATATAATTTAAAACTAATTGAATGTTGCCAGAATCACACTCACCTGTTGTGTGGGGTTGGGAGATCACAGGCTGGACCTTTTCTTGCTAGTGCTTATTTTGTTGAAGTCATAATGAAAGAGTTTGTGTACGATTTGATGAAGATCAAAGATCCTTATATTTCATAGCTTTAAAAATCTATGATCTATATCAAATAATAAAGACAGTATTCTACTTGTGGGATCTTATATTAAGGAAATAGTTTGACATTTTTGACCTCAAGAATAGGTATAATTTGAAAAGATACTTAGTAACTCTGCTTGGGTAAGCAGTTCCTAGAGAATAATTCTTTCAAATAACCTGTTCCTTTTGTTTGCCCTTTTCACTTGTAGACACCACTTGCAATTTGGCATACTATTGAAATTGACTGTTAGTACCATGAATGAATCTGATAATTTCCTTGTTAGGGAGAGATTGTAAATAAATACTGGTCAATATAGTCAGAACAATATTAGTGAACCATGTGTTATGTTTTTAGGTGCTTTAAAAGGGTGCTTTTCTTTTTTTCTTTTATTTTTGGCATTTGAGCTTGAATTTTTCTGAAGTTACATGTATATCTTTATCAGTCAATGCTCTGGCAAGTAGCACTTTTGTTGTCAAGTTAGATGAAGTGTAGATGTATATACAAGGATTTTTCCTGAAGGTTGTACTTTGAAGAACTTCCAGGAGTATCTGTACAGCAGTTTTCATTTTAGTATTCAGTATTTAATCTTTAGTTTTTGCTTTCTAAACTCATGACTTCATTGGTCAAAAACTTTTTAATGTCCATGTAACATTTTGTGTATATATATATATTTATACTAAATAAATTGTTATACTGTATTTGAATGGTGAAAAAATATTTGCTATTGGAATCATGGGAACTGATAAGAAATGTTATAAAGAGAATACCTTTAATAAATTTTGTCAGCTTTAGAATTGTCTCTTGGTCTAAGGCTTTTTATTTTATTGATTTTCTTCACTTTACTTCTGACTCAAAATTGCTGTATTAGCTCTGACTTGATAATAGCTATCCTTATGCTGCAAATGAAATAAATAATTGGAAAACAATAAACAAATATTAATATTTGTTATGACAACTTGGTTTTTTTTTTTTCTTAAACATTTTTCTGCCTCTCTTTAGTTGGTTATGCCTGGAATAGATTTAGCCTCGTGTGCTACGTGGAAAGAGTATATGCTTTGGAGCTTGACCTATTTTTCACACATTTGGAGTGTGAATTCCAGTGAGGCTGCTTACTAACGACGTGACTTGGGTGAGTTACTTGGTGTTGTCACACCTATTCATCTGCAGAAAGAAAAGTAATACCCACCTTGTGGATTACCTGTATAAGCATTTAATGAGAAAAATGTTGGAATAACTCCTGGCAAGTTTGTTAGTAAATGTTTGTTAGTAAAGATCACACTTGGTGCAAGCAGATGCCATTTAGAATGTCTGCCAATGGACAAAAATTGCAATCCTGCAAACATGGCATATTTGAAAACATGTCTGCCACCATTTTGTTCCATGATAGTAAACTGATAATAAAAATAACTAAAATGGTATCTTACTGCCCTTAAGTAAGGCATAATGTGTGTCCATCAGATGGGGTCCATCTGAAATTTTTTAGCAAAACCTTGCTTTGTCTAGTTAGCTAGAATACTTGAGTTTGTGAAGCCTAACCTTGTGCCAATAAGCATTTTGAGGTTTTGCCTAAATATAAGTAAGAATTCACGCACTACAGATGAAGGAGAAAGGTATTGATAGTTTGGTTCTGTTAAAAGAAGGTTGATGTGCCCAGTTTCCTGTGTATATGATTCATCAGGTAAGTGTGTGTTCTAGATTTTGCAAGTTACAGTCATTGCATGCTATCATCAAGACTGAGTATTTCCTTTAACCAATTAATATAGTTTAGGGAACTTTTAGGCATGGAGTATGGGCATGTACTTTATTTTAATGTCACCTGATACTAGGCTCATCCATTCATTCCAACAATCATTTACTTAATGCCAGATAATGCTTTTGTTGTAAGTCATAGATATCTGAAAAAGATTAGATTGCCTCATATCATAGATTTTTGAAAGCCCAACTTGTTGGATCCAAGGTAGGAGGATTGCTTAAGGACAGGAGTTAGAGACCAGCCTGGGCAACATAGCGAAACCCAGTCTCTACAAAAATAAAATAAAAATAACCAGGTATGGTCACACACTCCTAGAGTCCCACTCTATTTGGGAGGCCGAGGAGTTAAAGATCACAATGATCTTTTGAGCCTAAGAGTTAAAGATCACAATGAACTATGGTTGAGCCACTGCACTCCAACTTGGGCAACAGAGTGACATCCTGTCTCTAACAAAAAAAAAAAGGACTGGGCTTTCTAGCACTTGTTTCTCTGTCATTGCCGTGAGACAAGCAGGTGCAGGCTTGTCCTAGAGCAGGATGAGGGACGTGTGAAGCAGTACCTCCCCTCAAACCTTCCAGAGCCCAGCCTAGAACAGCTGGTCACGGAATCATGAGCCAGAAAAAATGCTGTTGCTATTTGCTGTGGGGATTATTGTGGACACAGTTAATGGCACTCCATCCTACAGCTGATGGACTGTGTGTCGTCCTTTGGTTTGGTTATTACAGTAACGCTGATATGAACGTTCTTGTACATCTATCTTTTGATGCACACATCTACAGTTTTCTCCATCACCTGATAATTTAAAAATGAGTGAAATCGATATCCTTATGCAATTTCCTTTATTAATTTTATTATGAAATATATTGTACATCTGAAAAATAAAAATAATATCTATGTGTCTTTGTTTTCATCCAAGCCTCTGGAGAGATTTATAGTAATTGCAAAAAATCATTTCTAAAGCAAAAGTGGTTAAGACTTAGATTTTTAACTGTGTGTGCCGCCGCTTGGTTTCCTGCAAACGGAGGGCCTCATGAGGCCAGTGAGAGCGTGGCCTGGTGGGATCCCAGTTGTGCTTCTCTTTGGCTCTACAGGCTAAGCAGAGCCCGCTTTGAACTTGCTGTCTCCTGGTCGGTGCCCTTGCTCGGGCTGTACATCACTAGCGAGCTTCCCCCAGACGACCGTTTCCACCATACATCATCCAGGTGAGCCGGGGCTCTCCTAACGTATTGCTCTTATACATCAGCGGAGCGAGCTGCGGCCCCAGTAATCTATTAGTGTAATACACCACCGGGGCGAGGCATATTGATAGAGCAAAGCTGGTCGATCTGTGAATTGTGGATACCTAGGAGTTCGGGTCAAGAGAGTAATGCAGATTTCTGGTTGGATTGATGTGGCTATGAATGGTATTTTATGATATGGAGTTTACCTCTGATTTAGAAAGTAATTTAATGTGGGTGACAGCTCAGGTTCAGGCTAAGAGAGGTCGACGTGGTAGATATCTGTAGCTCTCAGAAGATGTATTTCAGGAATAAATTACTGTTCTTGATACTTTTATTTCATTTTGCGATATGTCATCTGGGGCACCGGAAAATTGGCCTGGGAGAAAAGTTTTGCACATAAAGCAAAACGGGCTCCTTCTGCCGCCTGCCAGGTAAATAAATATGAGGGGAGCGTGGCCTCTGGAAGGCTTGGTGGCCATCTGTTTCAGCTGGTGGGAGCCGAATTCTCAGGGTCTTGCTCTTGACCTAATGTTTATGTAAGAAAGCAGCAGTTGCACTGCATAAATTGTTAACTTCTGCGAGATGGTGGAGGTCAGGAGAACTGCAGTGTCTAAGCAGAGGCACAAGGGACGCAGGAAGTTCAAGGACCAGGCCCCAAGAGGTGGTTCAGATAAATCAGGACCCAATCAGGGGACATATAGTTACCTGTGCTCCTGAGAAGAGGCTCTGTTCTGTACCACGTACATTCCCGACAGCTTCTGAGTAGACATGGAAAGAATTTTCTGGAGACTCTCAAAGGTTGTCCACAATTTCATTAAATATAAAAACAGTAGGCCGGGCGCGGTGGCTCACGCCTGTAATCCTAGCACTCTGGGAGGCCGAGGCGGGTGGATTGCTCAAGGTCGGGAGTTCGAAACCAGCCTGAGCGAGACCCCGTCTCTACTAAAAATAGAAAGAAATTAATTGACCAACTAAAAGTATACATACAAAAAATTAGCCGGGCATGGTGGTGCATGCATGTAGTCCCAGCTACTCGGGAGGCTGAGGCAGGAGGATCGCTTGAGCCCAGGAGTTTGAGGTTGCTGTGAGCTAGGCTGACGCCACGGCACTCACTCTAGCCTGGGCAACAAAAGTGAGACTCTGTCTCAAAAAAAAAAAAAAAAACAACAGTGATACCCACCACTTATTAAATAATTATGGGCCGGGCCTGGGGGCTCATGCCTGTAATCCTAGCACTCTGGAAGGCTGAGGCAGGAGGATCGCTCAAGGTCAGGAGTTCAAAACCAGCCTGAGCAAGACCACGTCTCTACTAAAAAAATAGAAAGAAATTGGCTGGACAGCTAAAAATATATAGAAAAAATTAGCCGGGCATGGTGGCATGTACCTGTAGTCCCAGCTACTCCGGAGGCTGAGGCAGAAGGATTGCTTGAGCCCAAGAGTTTGAGGTTGCTGTGAGCTAGGCTGATGCCATGGCACTCTAGCCTGGGCAACAGAGTGAGACTCTAAATAAATAAATAAATAGCATTAATTCACTTAATCTTCACAACAGCCTTCTGAGTTAGGCACTATTATTATCTGTGTCTTAAAGTTGGGAAAAGTAAAGAAAAAGTGAAGACCAGAAAGGTTGAGTGACTTGCCCATTGTCACACAGCTGGGAAAGGTGAATAATGAAGATGAGATGAACCCACATGATCTGAATCCAGACATTCTGCTCTTAGCCTCCGAGAGCGGAGTCCTAAACCTGACCGCACAGTAGTTATCACTCAAGTAGCTTTTAAAAAATTTCCTGACTCCCAGAAATGTTTGATTTAATTGGTCTGGGCTGGGGATGGTCCATAAATGTTTTTGCAGCTTCCTAGACATTTTCTGTTGTGCAAAGATGAGAATTAACTCAATATCTGTTGATAAATGGTACTTGTTTCTATTACAATATTTTAATGCAAATGCACCCCACAAATGCAGAAGTGGTTTTTCAGGTAGCAAGAGAGCAGAGCGCCGCCTGGGTAGAGTGGTCGCTCATTGGCTCAACTGCGACACCTACAGGCAAAGACGACAACTGACAACCGCAGAGGTTCTTGCAGAACCGCCCACATTATCACTGCCTAGCTGCCTAGTTTCAGACCTCAGCTGCCACACCGGAGCCAATATAAGTCATGGGTCCCTTTTTAAAGTAGAAGGTGTTTACTTTTAAACCTAACACCAATTTTTAGAAGGATTTAAAAAATTTCTCCTTATCTCAAAGGCAATGAGTATTTTGTTCCAGCTGAGATTCCTTTCGTAGCTCACACCAGTGGTGACAAACAGAGCTTGTGCCCTGTCACTCCAGGCAGCTGAGACAGCACCGGGAGCTGCTTGTGTGAGGGCTCCCTGCCCGCTGCTGCGCCTGCCCGCCCCCGGCAGGGAAGCTTAATGCTGCCTTTGTTCTAGTTCTCAATGGCTGAGAGCTCCAAGCATCAGCTCAGGCCAAATGAAAAATGGCACAAAATCAACTCATTCACATGTTCCTTTGGCATTTGGAACAAAGATCAGGAAACATGGTCATTCTTCCAAGGGTTTTCTATTTAATGAGGGCAGAAGGTAGATAGAAATTAACACCCGAATATTGCAAATTGTTTTGAACAATATATTAATGTTTCTAATGCAGTATAAGCCTGTGAAATCACCTGATACTATTACATTTCAAC